AGATGTTTTGCTTTTGAGAGACAGTCTAATCTATATCAGATTGTACGATGTCTAAAGAAAATGCTTTTTTTTGGGCAATAAATTCGGCGTTTTTTCTGGAACTTTTTTTCATCGCTATCTAAATATGAGTGTTTTCAATTAAAAATTGTCTATGAAAATCAGGAAAAAAGTCACAAAAGGAAAGATGCTGAACTTATTGCCTGAGGAAAATATAATTTTGTTTTCATTATTATTCCATACGTCATTAAAGGATCAACGCGTTTTTATTCTATTCCCGCAGAATTTTTTTGGACCACTTTGTTTTGTAAATCAGCTAAAATTCCTATTATGCGAAAGTAAGAAGAAAGTTAAAAATATGTGAAATACATGCGTACATAGACACATGCACACATACATACACATACACACACATATATATATATATACTTGGTTTAGATGCATTAGTACTAGAAGCCTTCAGTGATTATTCCAAATTTGAAGCATAATCTTTAATTTTTTTTTTCAAATTAAGAACACTAGTTGTTCATAGAATTTTATCATGTTGAAATTGATTGTTTTGTGAGTAGAAATTTTTGCTGTTGTATAAAAGATTAAAAGGTTAACAGTTTGAAACACTTTTAATGTTATGATAGTTTTGAAATGCATTATTTATTTTCATTTTTAATTTCTTTGTTTATCATCGTTTTAACCATTCGTTACTTTTTTTTTTTGACTATGTTGGTTTTCTAGTAAATTGTGTTTTATTATTATTACTTTTCGTTTCTTTGTTTACATTTTTTAAATTCTTACTTGTTATTCAATTTTAGAAATTTTTATTAGCAAAATATTCTGATTAAGTTTTCAACTCTCTAAACATGAGAATAGCTTTGTATATATTCTGCTATATTCTTAGCTCGGTGTCATACTGTTTGTTGTTGACACTATCAATCTATGCTATATAATGTCAAAAGTTTCGAAAAGTTCTTGAGGACTCATCGGGCGAAATAATATAAAAATATGCGCGGTAATGTCTCACTATAAAAAAGAAAACAGTGATAAATAGTAGAAAATCAGATTTTTTTTTTTGATTCAGATAACTGCTTTAACGTTAAAAAGGCTACTTTCTTCTAGCAATCGCTAATGTCTACTACGAATTTCATATGACATCTGTCTATCTATATGGAGATGATTGATTTTCAAACTGAATTTTTTTATTCTTAGCAACAAACAGGAGATATGGTATACTGAAGCGTGAAATGAAACTGAACTGTTAGATAAGATAGTTAATGGAGCCATACCGGATATTACTAAGTATTTTTTAAGTAAAACAGTGGTTGCATTCGTTGTAAAGACTGTTAACCAGTCCCAGAATATTGCAAACAAATTAAATGTAAGAAATGAAAGTTTAGTCTCTATAAAGTGTTGCATTTTGTCGATGAAAAGAAATGGAATGAGTGGATGGCATGGGTTACTACTGAAGCAAGTTGAATTTTAGTTTTAAAATTTATGCTGGTTCGCAAAAACCAAAGAATAGAAAAAAGTCGATATATGGAGAAAAAGCAGAAAGAAGATCGTTTGACTCTTATGGGTGGATAATTAAAAGAATATGAGTTGGTTTGATATGTGCAAGATCCAGTATACAGTTTTTTTTTTTCTTTTTTTTGGAAGTTTGGGAATTTGGAAGGAAATTTCGGTGAAAGTGTTGCTACTTCCATCACTGTTTTAAGTTTCACCCACTATTACCATAACATAGTCCCTAAAAGCGAAAACATATTATAATTGTGCATCACATTGCGATTTTCAGGAGAAACAGACTAATTATCTGATCAATTTCATTATTATTACCACTATGTCGATATAAAAGTATAATATCCATTAAAATAGCTATAATTATTAATTGTTACCACTCATACCCGAAAACAATCAATAAATCAAATAGTAATACTATCTAAAGAGACACTACAAATAGCCAGTTAATATATCCAGAAAATGAGAAAGCTCAATTGTGTCCAATGAGCGAAGAAGGAAATAGGCGTTATGGCAGCGCAGTAGGGCAGCACAGGTGGTTGAACACTGCAACTGCATGTCTCTTCATTCTACGGCTTTTAGGAAAATATCTAAGCTTTAATACTCGATACTCTCTCCTTTCTTTTTATACTTCTCTACTTTATCTATTTCCTATCTTCCTCTCCCCATCGAAATTATTAGATAAAAATTGAGTGGGATGACGTACAGTGATCATCTTGTCCTAACACACACTACTCGGCGGCTACGTCAACCTGTTAACGCCACCTAGTTCTATCAGATTTACCCCGAACATTCTCAAATTATAAACTGCTCCTGTCGATAATACGTACTTCTTCACTCATACACACAGAGAGAGACAGACAGACACATACACATGTATGCATTCGTTACTTTATCATCCATAGCTTTTGTGAGTTAAGCTAGGCTTCATCTCGTTTTTCTGCTTTATCCTCACAACCATTTCATCCCACTTATTGCGTCCTTTCAGAATTATTCCTGCTTATGTGAATATAAACTTATACTTCCCGTTCATTTTAATAATGTTATGTTATTTGATGGAAAGCATCAAATTTCGTGCTGTCTTTGCTAAACAAAAAAAAAAAAAAAAATGATCCGGAAAATCGAATTGGGCTATTGCAGAATCATTTAATGGAGAACTTGAAGATATCAACAATTTAATTAATTAATTCCAAGAAAAGAAAACAGATTAACTTTTCAGCTTCTCATTATCTTTTTTCTTGTCTTGCACTTCTTATTTTTCATACCTTAGAATCTGTTGCTTTTTGCAAATAAAATTTGCAATGGCACTAAAAGACAAATATGATGCAGAGATCACTGCTGCTTCTTTGGCTCACTCAATTCATTAAATGTTTCAATTCCTATCCCTCTTCTTTTTCTTCTCCTTTTTTCGATTGAAACAAGCCCTTTAGGCTTTAATTTCACCGAATTTTCTTTTCCATTTTCTCCAATGCTACATCATGAAAGCCTTTTATCCTCTTTTCTTTTTTGTAAACAAAATAATTTTTTTACAAGTAGCCAGACTTAGTTTGGATTTAATATCAGACAAATATAAATTTCACTAAAAAATGTTGGATGAAAGAAGAAACTGCGGTTGATGGAGAAGAATAAGTCAATAATAATCATTTTGTGTACATTTTCCTTTCTTGATTTCAATTTCAGATATTTTCTTTTTTTGATTAAACGTATTGTTGTTTACTTGCTTGGCACAATTAGTGGGTTAATGGATTGGATCGAAAACGTGTTTTCTTCTATGAAAGCCTTTATACTCTTTTCTTCCGTTACATTCATAGGCATAAGAAATTCAGAAAATTTTCTCCGTTTTTCAGTCATCTGTAATTTTCTATATTTATTCTTGTGCAGTGTTAAGATTATAGAGCACATATTCATTTCTACTTAAGAGAGCAATTTTCATTCTGATCTTTAATTAAATCTTTCCGAAGTCTAATCCGTTTCCTCGTTTTCTCCCTATTTCCTTAAGGACTGTTCAAGAAACATGTTTCATTTTCTGATGGTTTTATATTATTCGAAAAAGATCCCTTATTATCTGCTACGAGCTTATGAATTTAATTGAATTAGAATTTGCGAACTTCGAAATTACTTTAAATGATTAAATTATATTTTAAATTTGAAAAGTCAGTCACAGAGTAATTTTGATAATTCATAAAAAAACTTAAGTTGGAAGCATAGACATTTGCATGCAACATTTAAAGTGCGCTATTAAACTTAACTAAATTTTACATTTACTCAAATTATAGTCTTTATTTTGTGAACTCTCTGGTATATTTTATTTTTCCTAAATGTGTTAATTGCCGACAAATGTTTATGCCAGACATTCATCTGAAATAGAGTACAGTTGAGAACTTCTTCTAGATTTTTGTTTGTTTTATGTTTTTGCAATCGTTAGTGTCAGTCGTCGTTTTATTTTAGCGCATTTTAATCACTAAGAAGCTTTTGAAAAAAAAAAAGCAGAGAACTTTATGATGACAGCAACATTTATGAAGCAATTAGTACTTTTCAGCTTTTATTTATCGACATTTACAAATAGAATTGAAACCAACCTCGAACTTTTTTCGCTTCTGGAAGTTGTAGAAGTTATTTACTGTTTTCTTAAAGTTTTTATTTTGATTTTTGGGCTTTTTCAATACAAAATAGTAAAACGATAAAAAACATAAATTTCTTTTAACTTCTGATTTTATAATAAATCTACCTTCGAACAAAGAATAAGAAGCCAAAATTGGAGAGAAAAGATTTCGGGATATCTGACTCCTGAAATACCATAAACTTAGATGATACATTTCAAGTTGTTTATTTGGAATGTCATCCAACAACTGTCTGGTCTGTTTTCTTTTGACTAATTCTTTCAAACATAGTACTATGCTCAATTTTTCAGTTAACTCTATTTTACTAGAATGACATTTAAATTGAAGTTGATGGAAAATCGGAAAATATGCGGAAGTGACGTATGCAGGCAGGAGAGCGATAACAGATGACAATTTGGAAATAATTATTTGGCCTCTGGAGGGAGCATGAGAGAAGAGAAGTTGAGGCTGTTTTGTCTTCAGCTTCTTTTGCTTCTTCAAAGCAACACAAAAATATTATTCGATGTTAACAATTTTTTTCTCTAACATTGAATGTTTATTTAAAAGTAGTCGAAGTCTTCTACTTTCTTAATTTGAAAATAAGTAAGTCCTTGTCTTCTCTCTGAAGTAGGAACCATTTCGATTTTTCAATATCACTTCTACTATTACACAAATTTGTTCTAATTTTCGTGAAAAGTTGTTTGAATTCATTTTGCGTCTTTTATTTTACACAAGCCATTACCATACTTCTTCATTTACGAAGACTAACTTCTTCGGAGAGTTTTCAGAAAATGGAACTCAAAACAATTATTTTGGATATATTTTGAGATTTTTTTGATGGCCTGTTTGTGGACAGCGAAGTTTTTCTTGGATTTCTATTTGTAGTACTGCCATATGGACAGTGGTCAACCTGCAGATGCATGGTGTAGCAGTACTGCTCGAGCACTGGACATCTTCAATCGACGTGGTTCGCTTCTTGCTGTCGCACTCGGTGGTTAATATTTTGCACAGATTTATTTGGATTATCAAAAAATATAAGTAATATTGCTGGTTTAACGTAATAAAAGGCAAAACATAGCAATCATACTACCTTAATTAATCAATGACTTAATGACCCTTTTTTGAACGAATAATTTTGATTCCCGCTTAGTTCAGTTCGACCACACTTCGTTTAGGTAGGAAAGATTGAAGTGGAAATTACAGAACAGTTTTGCTATCTTATTCAAAATCATTTATTGAAGAAGCAGTAGCCAGCCTTGGAGCTGCTTAAAATATCTGCAAAACCTTACATTTTAAATTTACTACTTTTCTAGGGGTTAACAGCGAAGCAGTTGCATCATTACCTACTTACAATTCACCGAAAGCTACCGCACCTGCTCCTTATTCTTCCAGTTATCAGTACAATGATCACAATATCAGTACAACGATGACATCCTGTAAGCTCTTCCAGGCTGTTCCATTTTGATTTGATTCTTTTTTATCATTATCGAAATGCAATCGTTTAACCACACAGGGAAGCTTAGCCTGGGATATTTCTATGTACATGATAATCATTAGAATGTAACAGGCGTTCACATTCTGAGCTTCCATTTTTAATTCTTGGAATCAGTTTTATGGACTTGATAATCCAAATACACTTGGCTGGAATAAAAAATTCGTCCCAATGCTTTTTCGTCTCGATGATCCTGAAATGTGTTCTCAGTCCAATCTGTTTATGGTTTACAACAAAAACACTTGAAGTTTTTATAGGTCCTACGCATGGCTTTGCAACCACGTCATCAGTAGCATCTTCTGGATCCGTTCAAAATAATGTTGCGGCATCACAATATGATACTCGTGTTGCAATCGATGGCGATTGCAGTTCACAAATTGTTTCCGAACGTATTAAGTATTTTTCTATAATCATTGATGACTCTCATTATGTCCTAAATCTTCAAACGACTTGTAGATTGATATTTATGGATACATTTCTAGGAAACCTTTATTTAAATATAAATACAAATAAGTGGCAATAATTTTTTAAAATTATCTATAGATTCAATAATTTCGATTATCAATCTTGAGTGAGTTACCACTTTGATAAAAACTTCACGAATTATAGCGAATGGCGACCATGCTATCCACGTCTTTGCGCTCATCATGATTGCGTAAGCCTAGCATCAGCCTGGGGACTTGGTCCACCAACAACATCTCTCGAGCCTCGTCCAACTGGAGCATCACAGGCTCAGAGTCCGTGTGAAGATGACATGGGTGATGGTAAATCTAATGATCTGTTGGCAAATTGCCCAGCTTTCAGGTATTTCATCTTTCCTGTAACCTAAGGAAAGTGAAATAAGAGTGAAGACTACAGCGGTTTTGTTAATGTCAAACTTTTTACTTGTCCTAATTAGGATCACTTAGTTTCTTTAATTTTAGAAATGAATTAGGTGGTGAACCAATTCGTCGTTTGGCCCTTTCTCGTCGCTTCAGTGCTGCTTCAAAAGATGAATTAAAAAACAAAGATGAAACATGGCAACGAGAACATACAGCATCTGAAATTGGTATTCTGGAAGATGTTAGCAATGTGTACCTTGGCGGCAGGTAACAATATTTCTTTTCGTTACCCTGCCAATCTATATGTTGGAATTGTTTGACTCCGAATGCTCTGGTTCATTTCCATGACAAACAAATTTTCTTTTCGCTGCCTAAAATGCGGAATGTCTTTCTTGAAAGAGCATTTTTGGCTTTTAAGTGCATAAAGGATTAAGAATGGACTGGTTAAATAATTGAAGTATATAAAAGGTATAACTAATATTTTGCCATCGTTTTTTGGAAGTTATTCATTCTTTCCTTATAAGGAAGGTCGAAGAGTAAAAATGAAATGGAAAAAGACTAAAGAAAACAATAAATTCAAAAAGTTAGATTTCGTTTTTTCTGTAAATTCTTATTTGTTCTCAGTAGTTATAGAAATAACATTAACTTTGCATTACTATTATAAACTTTTTTCAGATTGTGCGCAGCACGTCAACAAAAAGTTGTCATCGAGCCTCAAGATATTGGCGCTTACTACTATCGGCACTGTTTTCTTGGACGACGTGAGTTTCTTTTGTTTCTTCATTTCAGATAAATTTCAATTCTCTTCGAATGAGATTTGAATTTCTCTTTTAAAGGTACTAAAATATTCTTATAATCGTAAATATCAGGTTTCAGCTCATTGGAACTTTTTTGGTACCGATGAAACACTCGGTCCAGTTGCCGTCTCGGTAGTTCGTGAACGTATTGAAAGCGGTATTCAGAATGTTACCATTTATCGAATGATTGTTCGGCTCAGTGATGTATTTTTTAATATTTATCTGACTCTTTGCAGTTATTCATTAGTAGGAACTTGATGTGGTGTTCCAATTAACCACACACATTGGATTAAAGTCTATGAAAGGTCTTCTGTAATCATTTTGAAATGACAACTTTGTCTAACATTTCTGTATTCTACAATGAATTATATATTTGGAAATGAAATCTCATATGAATGTCAATACACTTCTGTATCAGTCATAGAATTGATCTTGTTATCATTTAATCACATCGTTGTTGGTAATAGGTACAGCATTATTTCAGCTTTGTACGCTACGAGTTGCAATACCAGAAGAAGTTGTTTCGGATAATAATACCGATCAGAAAAATACTCGATCATTGATAAAAGAATTATTGGAAATTGCCTGTCCACAAATACACTACGGAATCCTTCGTCCAGCCAACCCGTCATTTACAAGAGTTGAAGATTTTCTTGTCAAAATTGATGAGCAGGTTTGCTTGCAAATTTTTACATAAGACTTAAGTTGCTTAAAACATAATTTTTTTAGAACTTAAATTACTCTTTTTGAAAGAGAACATTCCTGAGGTGGAAAGTGGGAAGGAAATTTGAACTTCAGCTGTAAATATTGTTTGTTATATTGTAGTTGTTTTAGCCGATTTATACACGATATAAAGTTGGCGTGATGTATTGTGGCGTCTGTCAGTCCACTGAAGAGCAAATGTATAATAATGGTATCTTTTCTTTGTAACACTTACAACTCTACTTTGAACTTTTCAATTCATTTTACTTTATTTTAAAACTTTTTCATTCATGATATTATTAAGCAGATACTTCAAAATCCTTAACAAATTTAGAAAGTTTCCCGTATTTGAGAGCTGTCAAAGAACGCAAGGTTGTAAACTCTTGTCAGTTACTTTCTACTTTCTATCTAAATATCCATCCAATTTGAATATTTGCAGTTCTAATTTCTCAACATTTTAATATTTTTTTTGAATGTTACTATTCCCTTCTCAAGACATTACCAGAACACTACTTTTTTAATGCTTATTTTTTCATTACTGGAACTAATACTCACTCACTGCCATTTAAAAATTTTTAAAGGATTCTGTAGTTGAACTATAAGTTATTGGCACGATATTTAATACATACAGCAGTGAATTACTTACTGTAAACTCAATTTCAGAAAGTGGATCTCCTGCTTTCGAAGAATTTTTAGACTTCCTTGGACAGCGTGTGCGATTGAAAGGTTTTGATCAGTATAAAGGGGGTCTTGATGTACGTGGTGATACAACGGGTACACATTCGATATACGTCAAATATCAGGCACATGAAATAATGTTCCATGTATCAACACTTCTTCCTTTTACTCCCAGTAACAAGCAACAAGTGAGCAAATACCAGCAATTTTTCACTTAAGAAGTTAATTGATCATAGCTAATTTTAGTATTATTATTGGATTTTCTGTAGATTTTGTTTGATCTCCAGAAATATTTTCAGCTAGCTCGAAAAAGGCACATTGGTAATGATATGGTCACTGTAATTTTCCAAGAGCCTGGTGCTCTTCCTTTCAGTCCAATCACTGTCCGTTCACATTTCCAGCATGTTTTCATAATTGTACGGGCCAATAATCCATGCACTGATGATGTAACTTACAGGTACAAATTTTGAATTTCATTCTTTAAGTTGCGTGATATTGCGTGAAATACCTGTCTCCATGCGCTTATGAGTTAAATATTGAATCAGATGTGAATGGCAGTATTGATAGACATTTATAATATACAACTGGTAATGTCACTGATTGATTTTAATAACACAATATTATAAATTTACAGTATTGCTGTATCACGAGCGAAAGATGTTCCAGCTTTTGGACCTGCTGTACCTCAAGGAGCCACGTTTCCAAAATCCGCTGAGTTCCATGACTTTTTCATCACAAAAAGTAAGTATAAAATAGCGTACGAGTTTTCATCTTGACGCGTTTTATTTCAAATTAGCTTCTTCTTTCAAATGTACAATCGAAAGGTAATTTTAAGTATTCTGGAGAGAATGTAGAAGTTATCGTTTACTTTTTCTTTCCGAATGGGTATTCTGAGATTGGTCAGTTGGATAACTGATTAGTAATCGTCTACGAAAATAGAATCATCGTTTTTCTTCAATTTTTTTTAGTAATAAACGCCGAAAATGCGGTGCATCGTTCGAAAAAATTTGCGGCAATGGCAGCACGTACCCGTAGAGAAGCATTGAAAGAAATTGCTGAAAATTTCTCTTCGGCTCATCCTAATGATGGACCAGCAAAAATTGCAAGTGCGCACTTCTGTCATTATATTACAATAAAAGAAAGTGAATTATTTTTCCAATGAATGAAAATTATGCAACAATTACAGGTCGATTTTTGGTTGGATCAGTGAAACGAAAGGAGCGATCATTACCACGGCCAGTATTAAGTGAATCGTTACATGGAGCACTTTCGTGGCTTGTTGAAGTTCACGATCATTCACAAAATCAGTCGATCACATGTGTTCTGGGTTTATCTAGTGAAACTTTAGCTATTTTGGAAATGCCATCCGGTCAAGTTATTTGTGCGATACCCACACATTCGATCATTGGTTGGGCCAATACGGATTCAGGGTACACATACGCTACTGTTATTTCTTTTTCACTCTTTTTGTTTCCACTCTCTTTGCTTTGTTACATTCCTGTCCTTATCTCCTTGAGTTGATGTCTTTTAATCAAATTAACGTCTCATTTTAATCAGTGATTTTTCTTTTAGTTACTCTAATATTATGAAACACTTTCCATTATTTTGCAATGTATTTAAAAGTCAACTAATGGGATTTGAAAGCTGAAAACACATTATTCCTGAGATATCAACAGAATTTGAATATTTTATACTTTGGAGAAAGATGGGTCATTCCATAATATAGTTTAGGTCATCTTACCATTTGCACTTATTCTGAAAAAAATTAAAACTATTCCTTTTTAGATTGAAAATTTACTTTGATCACGGAGATGTGTTGCTTTTGAGATGCCGCACAACTGATAATAGTGATCGAGAATTAACTGCTCTAATACGACGTTTAGAGTGTGTTACGAAAGGTAGTGAAGAAGTTTTTGTAATAGAAATTTTCAAAGCTTTTGATTGAAGCTAGTTTGTCTTAAGTAAGTTGATTTAGACTGAGTATATTTAAAATGATTTCAATAAAGCGAGTAAGCTATATATATTCTTCTTTTTCCCTGCTATCTTGATTGGTTTACCTTTGCTTGTGGTGAATAGAAATAGTATAGAAAAAAAACGGTCTAGCATCTTCCATGGTACTTTCCACAATTGATCGTTGAAGGCGATGAAGCTAAGGAAGTATTACATCGGCGTGCACGAACTTCCGACAATTTGGGCTTCCACCTACAAGAAGAAGGTGTTGTTACTGATGTAGAAATGTATCATACAGCTTGGCGATGTGGGCTTAGACAGGGATCACGAATTGTTGAGGTTGGAACAGTTTTAAACTTTTAGTTGAGATTTAAATCAGTTGCCAAAAAAAATCTAATTTAAAGCAATGTTATTTTGAAAAATCATCTGTTTTTCTTTTTATAATGGTTGCTAAATATCTTCGTGGAAACCTCGGAATTAAAATCCTTTTAACACTTTCTCCTCATGAATTCTCTGTGTCTCTTTTGTGAGACAGTATTTCAGTAAAATCTTTACTACTTCATTCCGAAATTACTAAATTATTGAACTTGAATGGTGTATGGCTGGCTTTTTCATTGTCGCAGAGCCTTGTTTTACTGTTTTTATCAGACCATAAAGACTTATCGGCTTCCTCAACATTAAATTTTTAATTCGTTTACCAACTAATTAATTTCTTTTTCATTATATAGCTATTTAGAACATTTTGCTTTGGAGAAACTAAAAAAGATGAAATACGTATAGTTTGCAGATTGAAGGTAAACCAATCGTTACAATGAGTTACAACGAAATTTGTGATCTGATGGCACATCGAACTTCACTTCGATTGATTATGATTTTGCCAGCATCTGATGGTTCACCCCGTAGGGGCTGTGCTGATCCACACTGCCCTGCCGTAAGCGGTGATGAGCGGTTATTGTTGATGCCTGATACATTTGCGAAACGAAATATGAAGTAAGATTTTTATTGTTGCGATGATTTATGGCTTTTTCATTATGTCTTGTTTTGAAATTTTATCCAAATATAATGAAATCACAGAGGTTTATCCCCTTTTCTTTATATTTTCAGAATTGACCTTCAGGATATTGGCTATAAGAGTTTATTTATTAAAAAGTTAATTGTCAACGGTAATGGATAATATAACTCTCTCTCTCTCTCAAGAATTTTGTTACTTACAAAAAGACGCTTAATGTTTCAATTAGATAACTATTAACAGCTGATAAATTTAAGTAAATTTTTCAGTGCACTTGATTTTCAGCTATCTCAGTAGTTTTAAAAATGAACAACTTCGCATGCTCAATAACTGGGACAAAACTAGAAAGCAGTCAAGTAGTTTTGAGGATGAATCAATTGCATGGAACAGACATAATGCTGTAAATATTTTAATAGTTGTTGTCGAGACGTATATATTGTTTACATTGATTTGAATCCATTTTTACCGACTCGAAATTATTTTTTTTCATGGTTTTTACAATGAGAGTTGGAGATGTGCGTGAATGTATTTTTTTAATGTGTGAGAATACTTTCACCCTATTATTAGTGAATGAAAATTGGTAAACATAAATTAGTCGGCATATATAATATATTATTGATATTATAAGGCAAATTTGTTGCTTAGATTTCTTTGGAATCACTATATTTCTTTTCTGATTAAATTTTATATTCTGAACTAATACATTCATTCCTTCCTCGTTTTTTTTTTTTTTTTTTTTTTTTTTAACTCTGATAGGAAGAATTTTCTATTCGTGGTAAATGCTAATTCCACTTACTTATTTTAGTTTTGGTCCTTTACATTTATTTTAAATAACATTTTAAATGAATTTTTTTGCAGGCGACCAAACTTGCACGTTATGAAAGAGTTAGTTGTTATGTACGCTATGAAAGACCTGCAAATACTGAGTAATTTTTTGCAAAATTTTTAATATTTGAGGAAATAAATTTTTAATCAAGATTTAAGTTGAATTCAAGTTTTTTGTCGTTCGTAATATGGAATCGCTATAAGATATTGTTGAAACACTGTGATAATTTTCACATTAAGATTGTAAGTTCATCCATCTAATGTTAACATTTCTCATCATTTTATGTTTTTATGTTAATAATAAACTTATTGAGCAAATATGACATTCCAGGCCTGTCAAATGGAAAGTATTAAATAACTGCCTGTATGAATCTACTTACAAAGTACAGGTAGCCTACAGTAAATTTTTCTGATGACGAATTTTGAGAATTTATAGTCAAAGTAGTCATTAATTGTTTAACTATTTATTAGAATATTTTCTCTCTTTCTTTTCTCCCAAGCAATTTAAATTTCATCAAGTTTGTGTAAATCTAATTTAAAAGGAAAAAGAACCTAACCGAACGAAAAAGAAAGAATTGATTTAAGATCCTTTCAAACCAGCTCATTCCGCTTTTAGAAATTGGAATGTTTTTCCTAGCAAAATTGATATCGTAGTTGCTGTCAAAAGAGTTATTTCTAAAAGTAAGAGTTACTAATTCATAATTTGTTTCAGGGGCGAATACTGCGTGTACGTTCTGAAGATTCATTAATTTCATCCTCAGAAAACTGTCGCAATACCTATTCCGTAAACTTATTTCTATATGATTCATTGATAGTTATGATTTTATTAAGATTAATATTTCGAAATTTCAACAAAGTTAATGTTTGATAAGAGAATTTTTAATGTATTTCCAATTTGTAATATTAGTATTTCATAGGAAGCATCCTTCTGTTTTTCCTTTCACAGAATATTTTAGTCTTCAAGTTTTTCAAAAGAACAGTAAATCCAAACTCGTAGAATTTCAGCTTGAATAAGCTTGAGAGGAATTAAAAATTAACTTTGTTAACTTTATTAACTTTGTTCATCTCTTGACAGAGTTTGAAAATAATTAACGCTGAGGCATAAGGAAACTACATCTTATTTAAGTTGTGTCACATTCATTTTTAACTCAAAATCATCCCATTTTTTATTTTAGCAGTCGAGAAGCGATACTTATGGCCGCAGTATTAGTCTTATATCTAAAACGGGAGAATCTGGAAAAATAGTTGCGAAAAAGAACGCTGAATTGGAAAAGAGCAAAACACAATTACAAAAAACACTGAGAGAAAAGCAAGCTCTGGAAGCTATGATTTCGCGTTTGAAAGAAGAACTTACAAAAGTAAATTCTTTATCTTCACTTAATTAACCTCTCATAACTTAACCTACTTTCTCTTGTTTTTTTTTCAAGACTTGGTCTCGACTATACAATTTTTTTTATATAAGATGAAATCGGTGTGCTACGAGTTATGTCTTGCTAGCAATTAGATAAAGAAGTGTTTAATTTAGGAATGGTGAAAATTAGATTCGTGGCTAACTAATTATTCGTATAAATTCAACAAAACATTTTCATAAATTGTAGGAGCGACGTGCACATGAAATGACGAAACTTGAATTACAGAAACTGCAAAAGTATTTTGAAATGTTACCAAACGTGTCGCTGTAATTCTTTACTGGTAAGATATACTAAATATAATGACATGATAAATATGTGTGTGATATGCCCTTATTATAATGTTTGCATTTATCATGCGTGTGGTCTTTTGTTGAAGTCCACTTTTTTTACAATGTTCTTTACACTCAACTTTTCGAGTTTAATAATTTAATCAGCAAAAAGATTTGTTACAATCGTTTGATTCTTGAATTTTAGAAATAAATAGGCAAAACTTTCATGCCACAACACATTCTCGAGATTTTAGTGAAATGAAATTTGTTACTTTTCCTAATTTGTGATTCTGAATTGTATCTGTGCCGTCTTATTAGAGATTCCAGCATATCTATAATTTGTCATTGTCGGCATTTGACTATAATTTCGAATCGTCGTAATTCCTTACATTGTGTTGTCTTTATTGGCCCTTGTTGTGAAAATTATTTATTATTAACCTTTCTTTTTTTCCCTTTTTCCATTGTTATTATGTCTAAATGAAATTCGTAAACATAGTTTGGTGGCTCATCTTGATGTCATTACAATCTTGATCGATCAATTCTTTATGCCACATTAAGTTCATGTTATTTTGTCTCATCAAATCAATGTATAATTAAATTTCCCTACAAACAAAATAAATGTTTTTGGAAACTTTAGAATATTTCTTTGGTATGGCTGGACAAAACATTGATAGAGAACGTCGTGTTAATTCTCACTGAATATTTCTGGTTACGCTTTCTATGCCTACAATCGGATCATTTGGCTGATGTGTTCTTACAATACAAATGGCAATTTAAATCAAACCTTGCTTTAAGGAACTCTTCCTGGCTATAACAATAGTGGTTGTTTGTCCAGTTGTTACAATTGAATAGTCTTTGTACAAAAAATTCTACTTGATTAATTACAACCAGCAGTCGAAGGGAGAACTCAAATTTGAATAATTAGATGCAATTTCTCAAATATCAAATTTCACTTAAACTGTGTAGGATGAAAAGTGATGATTGAAATTTGACGTCCATTTTTCAGTGAGCCTCCATTGATCTTGCTAAACGACGTAGAATGAGATCGTTGCATTATCTTTTCGATAACCGCACACAATTTTAATTAGTTTTTTAAAAATTTATTTTAGGATTTCTATTTTCTGATCATATTTTAGCTTATGCGGTTCGCTCACAAACAATGCACTTACTGGTTTTTGCTATAAAAGAAGACAAATGGGTTAAGTATCTCATCCGATATCAGAAGGAGTTCCAGTTTAATATGTCATATTCATTTAAATGAAGTTTGAAATCGTGTCTTTTGCAAAATTTTAGTTAATTTACGAGAAATTTTTGACTTTAAAATGGAAATTGTAACATCTCCTTTACCTTCGTTTGATGCTATATCTCCACGTTGCTCAAAATCTTTTGCAAACACATTTCTGTGTCGGTAAGATTATTCGATTCCATATTACACTTCAATTGATGCTTTCACTGAATATTTTACTTTTACTAATTTTTATATTCAATTCAAACAGTTGTACAACAGTGGAGAATTGCAAATCACAACAATGCTACAAGTAAGTACAACCGAAAAAGTTCATTGAAATAGTATCTATAGTTGGTTGCCCCAAAATTCTAAAATTTTACAGCATTTTGCTGAACTTTTGGAAGTTTCTCATAAATCCGACGCATGGTGAGTTGCTAAATCCACTCTTGTTATATACGGAAGGTTACACATGTAGTCGTGATGATTGTGGAAATCCAGGTATTTCTCTCCTAATACAAGGAATGATTATGCTTACTATACAGACATCATGTGTTCGCTTGGATCACAATGTTCAAATGTGAAAATCATAAAAAGATATTATTAATTCGAAACTTTTAAACCACAATTAGTAATCAAACCGTAATTTAAACCATACTTGGTACGAGTTTCAATGACAAAAATTTCTGGTCTTCATAATTAAATTTTGAAAAAGCGTGCAAATCTGAAAATAAAATAACGTTTGGAAAGTATAGCAATGAAAGTTTTCTTTGTTAGAAATTGTTTATTGTTAGAAAAAATAGTTTCCACATTTCAAAACATAACTTTCAGTCATTATAAAGTTCTTTCGAATTTCAGATTCATCTGCTGTATATGTAAAAATATTTGCGATCCAAGCAAAAATATTTTCAATATGTTGAATGACGACAGAAATGAAGAAAGTCCCCTGTCATTACCACTCTACAACAATTCATACCTTCAAAATCTCCTACCTTTTAAAGTACCAGCGTTCAGCCATTCGCAAACAGTGAGCAGCATTGTTCAATCTATAACTGATGTAAAAGATGATTTGGTACCGGGATTGCCAAACGATAGAAAAATTGACTCTGATCGTACCGGAACTGATTACCCGCTAATTACTGAGGAAACATTATCAGTACCAGTTAATCAATATGCTATTAATAGGATCTCCCAAGAAAACAATTTGCATACACCTGTTTTTGAACAATGGACTGATAGATGGGAAAATACTTTTGATGGAAGTCTAACAACTTCAATTCCCGTTATTACATTAGACCAGGCTTATGACAGTGACAGAAACTATTTATCTACCGCTCAGGTCAAAGAAAAGATACTTCAGCTCAATACTTCAGCTACACTGGCACCTGACTCTTGTGATAACTCGTGCAATGAACTGTCACATTATTATGATAATTTTCCTGGGATGAAAACTGAAACATCTTCGTCGGTGGAGTACGACGAGTCTGAAAAGTTGAAACAAAGAGATAAGGAAGATAAGGAAAATTACTACGACGAAATAAAGGGTGAGCGCAGAACTCGTATTTCATTTTCACGGCATCCTAGCTTGAAGAAGCAGCCAATTCCCGAGAAATTCTTCCAAAAAATGACACAATTAGGGACCAAAACTCAAGATAAAGTAACCTCCTTCGCTGGAAAGAGTGATTTTCAAAAAACCAACGTCGTAAAATCAAAATCTAAGCTTCATGTTGCTTCTAATAACAAATATAAAAAGGTAAACAAAGCTAACAATAGCAATTTTCAAATAAACATCTCTAGTATTGCTGAAAACCGAAAAGCACAGAATTTCGAGAAATTAAAGTTTCATGGGTATCCAACAATTATTGGTTTATCCAAGAAACATATATTTCTATCATCAAATCACGATTTACTTCAAGCAAATTCAGTAACAAAGGAACCAAAAAATTCAGGTCAACATAATGGGCCAAGATTTTCTTTCTTGAAATTCAGAATGGAACCCAACAATGAAACTATAAAAATTTTGATAAAACCAGTTAAACTAGTGAGAGCGCAACAAAACAACTTTGCCGATGAACAACTAAATACTAAGCCACCAATGAAGGAATTTCACAAAGATAACTCTCTCAGAATAAAAAATTTATTGCCGAAATCTTTTGGTAAGGAAAGGAATTTGTTAGCTGAAACTGTTCACAGAACATCAAAATTACAACGAAGGATAGTAAATAATACCGTTAAAAAGTCCGGTAGTGGCTTACAATTTTTGAATATACGTAAGAAGCCTGAACAAAAAAAGACAATTGATAGTTTTCTTTATTACATACCAAAGTCTCAAACTGAAGATGTGCACGGTAAATTTAGTAGCAAATTGGTATTCGAGGTACAACCGGATAGTTGGACCAATATCTCTGATATTTCTCGAGAACAGTCATTACGTAAGAAAAAGTTAAATGAATTTTCTGAAGTTGCAAATATGCCAATACCAGAAAAAGAAATTAAAAAGTACACTCTAATACCAACAGAAAATACTCTGCTTAATCTGTCTATTGAACATCAAGTTTTGATGAAAAAGAATAAATCGAAAAAAGCCATTCGAACAAGGAGAGCAAAATTTTTTTATTCGAATGTTATCAAATCAAGTTAAGTACTTATTTAAGGCTTGTTTTGATTGTAACATGAAGATGTTGCGACACAAAGATGTTCAGTGTATGTACAGTGATCGATTCATCTTATATTTATTAACTTTTTCAACTTTATATTCTATTTAGGAGTCAACTCTGCCAGTAAATGATCGCTTATTGAAATTGTGTGTTTTTGTTTCATTTTCCATTTATATTTCTAATAAAATTATATTTGTGAGCGCATATAAAGAAGTAATTCTAGTATGTATTTTATGTCGAACTTTTTGCATTACGAAAATCTTTCTTAATGATTTTACTTAGTTGATAAAATTAATTCAACAGTAATTTAAAATAACTTTTGAAGCGGATTTAACACTTACTTAATTTTATGAAAGAAACAACTATAGGAAGTAGATTAGATTAAAGTAGGAAGTAGATTAAGGTAGGTTTGATATCGAAATAGGCCGCGAAATAGCTCATGAAGCAATCGGTTTCCAACTTTCTTTTTTCTTTTAAGATTTGTGAGAGTTCATAAACAGATAAAAATATTTATTCAAATTTCATGCCAATAAAATATAAATATGCAATTTTTCAAACAAAGCTGATAAATAATAAAACAAGAAAAAAATGGAAAGCGGGAGAAAATAGAAATGAAAATGATAATTTTAAAAAAGGATCCAGGTTGTTTGGTAGATCACTGCAATATCTTCAAAAATCTCAGAGCTACAATCGATACAATTCATATTGACAAGCTCAGTTTGAAACTGTTTATTTGCCACAACCACCACAACAGCAGCAATGACCTCTGTAATATGTTTGTAACTGATATATATAACTGTTGATTTATATCACACTGATAACCTATTTAAAAGTACCTTCAGACGACCGCTTCCTTATCCTCTGACTATCTGCAAAGATGTATTAAAAGGATGATAGAACATCAATACAGCAAGTTAAATGGTGAAAAAGTCCAAGTATAGGATTGCGAAGAAGTAAAAAAGGGAAAGATTGAGAAAGGAACATACCCGCCGCCAAAAAAGATCGCCTGAGTGCTTGTCACTACAAAAACTAGCAGAATGAGCATGTATCGAGTGTCGAGCATATCGGATAGCGCCATTTGTTGATGATGATGATGACAAATGAGTAATGTGAATTTCTGATACATTGGTGACTTATTTAAAGAGAAAGGCTGTAGGAGGGATTAAATAAGTCCCACCTGAATTTGGGATAATTATAGCTAATAATGTCAGCGATCGACAGAAGAGTTTTCATCCGATTTCTAAGAAACACTGATTTTACAACGTTCCACACTGGAAATATCCGCGATGAAGCAACACTTGAAATTTTCCAGAAAATCTGAATACTGTGATACCCTTCTAAACTCAAGTACCATTTTGGATTTTTCGACTACACTGTCATTAAGGATTCATACAAGAATTTGAGTTTTTTATGAAGGAAGGAAAGAGATATGACATTTCTACAAATATCACATCATCACTCTTATTTTTACATGTTCTTGCATTTTCTACTATGACTAGCCATAAAGTATTTAAGAAATCACAGCGAGTGTTTTCTTTGCTTGACAGATGAGACAGTTGATGAATTCAGGTGACTTTGAATATCAACATCAACTCTTGTAAAATGAAGTCAATACATCATATCAGTTGACTGGCAGAAGTTCGTGAAGTTTTTGATCTCATAAAATGCTGTTGTGATGATTCTTAAGCTCACGAAGTGATCTTTTAAAAAGTCGAGTTCTCAACTTAAAGTGCAATAAAACAACAGTTTGTTGAACTTTTTAATTAACAATCCATCAGTCTGCGTAAACAGAAATTCAGAGCAGTGAATCATATTTTGAATCATATATACAGTGAACCAACACTATTTGGGGATTACTGATTTCATATCTGATACTTCATGAGTTATAAATTGAATTACAAAACAGACGTTAAACCTAAGCTCAGCATTTTCAATTTCACTTGCTTCTTTTCATTCCAAGTTCCCACTTAGAAAGCAACAATTACAAGTGAACATAAAGTGTAAAAAAAAAGAACAAAACTTAGCCCACCATCTACCATCTAATACTTTTTCATGAACCACTTATTTCCTTCCTCCATCAGGAAAAAGGATTGGGAATGTTGATTGACAGATCTTTCAAATAACAGCAGATTATTGAAAGATCGAAACAGCAATCATCAGTCTTGACAGATATTTTTTCATGTCCTTTTTTTCTCTCAAAATGTTTTCGATATATCTTAAAGATATGAATAAGCTATATTAATTGGTTGATTAAATCTATATAAATATCAAAATTTGAAATTTAGGTATGAGAAAAAGAAAATAATTAAGAAAGTGACGAAATATTCTACAATAATAAACGACCTCATTTCAAGTATATTTTATTAATTGTTATTTGAAATAACAATGAAAAGGACAAAAGATGAGTACATTTTATAAATAAATTGGAAAGTTTTGACAACAGGTGGAATTTAATTAAACTTTTTCCTGTGTTTCTGTTGCATCTTCTTTTCCTTCGAGTTATTTTAGAATTCGAAATTTATAAACGGGTCAAAGTGGAAAGCCAAAAAGGACATAATTTCTCATTATATCAAAAAAAAAAGAAACAATGAATAAATAAAGGCAGACAATGACAATTTTAGTACATAAAGTTAAAACCAAAATATTTATACTTGAATCAATTTAAATTTGTTCCCAATATACATAAGGTGCAAGTAATTACTATCGTAACAATACGAAAACAGTTATCATTTGAAATACCTAAGATGGAAAATTAGATTACTTAGATGAAAATTAGATGAAAAGAAGCAATCTGTGACAGGGATCAAAGCAATCGTAGAACTTAAATTTAAAGCAAATTGTATCAATTGAAAATTCGAAGATTACAGACTTTGAATTTGGATAAATTTGGAATTTGAAATAAACGTTGAAATCTTCTATTGCAAACACAACAATGTAACAGCTACTTTCACTAAAACATAGCAAATCTGCTTGTACCTTGCACATAATTGGATGAAATGATTTCATACTAGTTGTCAGTGCCGCATTGATTCAACCATTCGAAATGTATTTCTACACTTTACAATTTTAAGCAAAACATTATAACAGCTCTACTACAAAAAAATGAAAATAAATTAATTTTCTATACTTGACATAAAATCTTTTATTGAAATCGGCAGACTTTTGCTGAAATAAATAGACTGATTATGATTCAACGGATCAAGTCGATAAAAAATTTAATTACTTTCTGATATGGTCATTTAATTTGTGAAAATATGAAGTGAAGAAAAGAGGAAAAAAAAGCTACTGGAAAAAGCTTAACCCAACGTCAACGTTTTTAAATTTTTAAAAAAAGGGATTTTTGGAAATTATTACAACGGATTTATATCAATTCATCATTTCAAGATAAAAAAATATGCACCACAATTTGCAAATACCTACTATATATAAATTTGTTCGATATTCTCGCCTTCCCGCAGAAATTTGTTTGCAACTTTATGCGGTGAATTTAGTAGCTGTTGCAGAATTGAAGTTTATTTTTTTAACTGAAATACTAAATATAAAATATTATTCTTCATCCAACAGGTTTTCAGAATAATTCAATCGATCAGTCTATTTTCTTTCTTCATGAGTGCTCATTTATTTCATTCTTTTTCACGGGAACCGAATTTCAATTTCTTTAATTAATTTTTTCATGGTTCTAACGAATGAAGCATCAAAAAACACATATATATCCAGTTATCTTTCATTATGAAGCTTAGTAGATAAAGAAATAAATACTCTAGAAGTCTTTGGAATATGTTCTTTTCAAAGGGCTGGGTGCGTTAAAATTCTTTAAATCTCTTTGAAGTCAATTCTCCAATGAGTTGTGTTTCGGAAACTATCAGACTGAAGAATGAACAATGGAAAAATATAGTAACAATTTGAACAATTTAAAAATTATTTCTTTGTTTTATAAAAAAAAAACATTATAATAAGAGTCATTCTTTATATTAGTTCAAAAATTTCGTTTTCCACAGTTATTAACTGAAATTCTTTTAACATTAATGCTTAATTCAGTCAATTTCGAATTCCAAGTGAATTATTTGGAAGAATAAGGAATTCTATATTTAATTTTTATTCGAATTTCTTTTTTTAATATGTTACAAAAATCTCAAATGAGCAAAATATGCGATAACTTTATTTTCTATTAGTATTAATTAAGAAGTTAACAACATTTAGACAATTCATTCATTTGCTCGCTAATTTGTTTCTACTTTCTGTGAATTTAAAAATAACTCTTAAGCAAGCAACGTGTAAACAAACGCAGGATGAAAATTTATTCATTTTAGTCCAGCAGTAAACAAACAATTGAATAAATCGAATGAAAATGGGCACTGATTTGCTCCTTCTATTATAATTAATTACAATGCATGAGGTGTGGTCACAATAAATAAGACTTACAGATGACAGTGACGTCATAAATGTTTCAAGTCAAAAAGCATTTTTCAGAACAGTTATAAACAAAAATAGTATTTGTAAATACGGTACAGTGGACAAGAAATCGTACACCACAGTGGCGGTTATCTAAAAAAGTTGTTGCAAGCCATGCATAGGTGCAGAGTGGAAGGGCCAAAGAGTAATCGATCTTATTTCTGCCACACCTCGATTTTATCAGTTTTGGGATCATTTGTGATATTATAAGATCCCACATATACTTCAAATAGATGGAGATCGTCATCGTCAAGAGGACTAATGAGGAACGTGAAGATGAGGGCAAAAACATTCTACATCGATACTCTCAATAGTCTTCGGGATCTTCACTGTTCCAAATGTTTAAAATGCAGGTGAGTTTACTACCGAAATATTATTATTCTAATCGTCATTTCTTTTTTTTGCTATTTCCACTACAGCTATTATAATTTCTATTGCTGCAAGTGAATTCGGAATATTTGAGAAACTTTACTGAAATGGAATTGTTATAAAGTGAACACTTTATTTTCCGTGGAAGAAAACTGCTTATATATAATGTATGATTATAAAGAAGATCAAAAATTGACCAAAATAAAGCAATAAAACAGTACTCTGGAATAAATATTAGCCATTTATGCAGTACACTTTTCATTTTTCTCTAAATGAAGTCTTGAGATGAAGAATTGCTTAAATATAATTGATGATGTATGCCTTATCAGTAAATACAACTTTCGCATAAAATTGATTTATATGTTCAACTTTTTTAATCCAGTTCTTGACATAACTAACTTCAATGTTTTACACCATAAAGTCTGCAATCAATTTAAGGGATTTAGTGTACTGAAACGAAGATATTAGAATGTTTGAGTGCATGAATTTTCTCAATAATTTAGTAAAATGAGTACTGATTTGATATCTAATTAGTTCACAAATAATGTGATAACATATTTTTGCAGGAAATAGAGGAAATTTTTCCAATTTTATAACATCAAAATAGAGATACTTTGTGAGCTCTAAGAATACCGTCCACTAAGGCAAGCCATCCTTAAATTAGTGCCTATAATTTCAGGCTTATTTATTGACAAAGCATTTTTTGTTTGCCAAACTGACAAAATTATATCCGAGAACTTTATCTCACTACTTCTGTACTTGACTATCGCTCTTATATTTTTTCTAAAATGATAATGCAACAGAAGAAAAAAAGAAACATATGAAAAAATAAAGTATCGCATGGTTTCTTTTCGAGAATATTGTTACTATTTTAAAGTATTGTTATAGCTCGTACTTTTTCATGGCTCATTTAATTCAGATATCAATAGCATATGGTAATTTATCTGCCATCAACTTTTTTGTTTTGAATTGATAAATAGTAGTATCGTGTGGTTGTTGCCGATTAGAAAAGACCGAGCAGAGTAGAGGGAGAAACAATATTTCATCAGATATTGCAACGGGAAGATTGAATCCTCAGAACCCATCTATGAACAATGGTGTAGAGCATTATAAAGCTAGCAAAGCCTTAATCCACTTGCCGTATGGTTCCGCTCCGCACATAATCCTGCTTTAAGGTGCATTATTGTCAACCATTTATTTGGCAATGATAAATACTTTGATCGGTTTCATTATGAATTTTATTTCTGTCATATTCGATCTGTTCTTATGAATATCTGATACTTTTGAGGGAATTGAATAGGTTTTTCTCTTGAAAATTTTGCATTCATTGAGATTAATGAAGATTTTATTGCTCAAAACATCCGTATTTGGTTCAGACTGCAGTCAGAGAGTAGACTGGAAAGTAAAGTAACATGGAAGTTAATGTGAAGCAGCTTTCAGATTCTATGAATCATGAGCAAAATTCACCAGATTATCGCACTTCTAATTGTTATCAACGAAGTACATGGCTTATTATTCAGTATCTTCAGCAGGTTTTGATCTTTCACACCTTTACTTTGAACATTAGGCACAAATTCAGTTTTGAACTTTCAGCTCCAAAAGAAAAAATCCGCCTCTGAATGTCTTGAAACTACTTAAAATTTTTTGAAAAGGTTTTAATGATGCTATTTCCGTCTGTTGGTACAATTTCAGGTGTTGTTACAAGCGATGCTGTTGCTGCGGTTGCGGTCTCAGAAATAGTGCTGGTGGTGGCTGCGGTGGAGGTGGTTGTGGTGTAAGTGGTTATAGTGGTGGGAGTTACAGTGGTACAGGCTGCACTAGTTATGGTGGCTGTTGTAGTGGTGGTGCTGGTGGTAGTGGTAGAAGTGTTGATAGCGTTAGTGGTGGTGGTGCTCGTGGTGGTGTTAGTGGTAGCGGTGTTGGTAGTGTTAGTGGTGGCGGTGGTAGTAGCAGTAGTAGTACTGCGGATCGTTTTATTGGCTACAGCAGGGATCGTTTTGGTGGAGTGGACCACAGCAGGGATCGTTTTGGTGGAGTGGACAACAGCAGGGATCGTTTTGGTGGTGTGGACTATAGCAGGAATCGTCTTGGTGGTACGGGCTATAATAGAGATCGTTTTGGTGGTGGAGGCTGCGGTGGAGATGGTTGTGGTAGTGATGGTTACAATAGTGTACGCTGCGTTGGTGATTGTGGTGTGGGTAGTTGCTGTAGTGGTCGTGGTGGTAGCGATAGCTATACTAGGGATCATTTTGGTGATAGAGACTACAGCAGGCATCGTTTTGATGGTGATGGCTACCGTGAGAATGGTTTTGGTGGTGGAGGTTGCGGTGGGGGCGGCTTTGGCAGTAGGGGAGAGTGCAGTGGTAGCAGTAGCCCTGGCCTTAGCGGATGTGGAAATGAATACGGCTGTGGCAGCAAAGGTACTGACGGAAGTGATTTTGTGTTTTAAGCTTTTACTATTTTCTCTAAATTTAACATTTTTGATTTTTCGTTCGAATGATTCAAAAATTCAGAGGTGTTGGAGTTTGTTAAAAGGCAAAATGAACGATGAGGGAGGAAATATCAGTGTTACTGAAAAATGAACAAAGGATGGTTTTATAGTGAACCCTTCCGTTCTTTTCGCCTCTAATAATCAAAATAAGAACTGATAAAGATATCATCTGCTCACTCAGTCGATAATGCTTCAGTGACTTCCCATGCTAATCTATTTTAATAATTTTCAACTTTAGCATATAGCGGAGGATACAGATTGAGAAAGCGATTGAGTGACATGGAGTCTGAATCGACAAGTAGTGAGACTGACGACAGTGGCTTTAATGTTGACAGTTATGCGAGTGGTACGAGCAGCCAAAGTGGCAATGGTTATGCTGATAATCATAGTGATGCCCGCAACGTGGACGGATGCGATAAAGGGAGATGTAAACCACGCCATCATCATTCTGGAGATTTGATGTCACCGCGTCCAGTGATACCAATATTTGGTGTTGGTCTCTAAAAAGTGTACAGCGAATATTATTTGCCTCAGCCGAAATAAAAATGACATCAGTGGCAGTTGGCATAAACATTCTATTGCCTATGTCTACGAAGTCATCCTCTCTTTCCTATATGGCAGCACTGCGATTCTTCTAAGTGATAAAGTTACTACCTTTCTTTACGGAATCAGTTTTTACATCTACTTCATTAGGAACATTTTTATTCTCTATGCAAAATTTTATAAATTTATTTCTATTTCAGTGAATGAATTTTGAATAAATTCTGATGAGCTGTGAAATATGCAGTGAAACAGGAAAGGAAAAGCATGTAAAGTTTGATTTACAGCCTATTGTGCATTCGTGACATAATTTTTTATAGGCGGTGAGGCCTCTTCAATATGCTTTTCCTTGGTCATTAAAACAGCTTAATGAATTCAGTAAATAAAAATATTTTAGATTCTTGTAACCCACTTTGACTTAGTTGCATAATTACTTTAGTTAATTCTGGATCAATAATTTCCAGTCATTGCTTATATCGACTCCTGCTTCTTACTGATTTTACTACTGATTACGATTATCTTCCAATTCCAACTCATCCATTTTGAGCTGCTGCTCATTCTCGATTACAATCTCCTTCAGGATTATAAGTGAGATGTCACAGAAAGGGATAAAGTGATAAAGGATGGAAGGTAATATTAAATATTGACAGAAATATAATAAGTTAATGTATATGAAGTGAAGTAAGCAGTAATTTTTTTATTTTAAAGCGTTTTATTCCTCCTCACATAAATTTTCATTTTATTTGGGAATAGCAATAGAGCGATATCATTCTTCAAGCAGTAAGAGGTAAGGTTTCATAAATCAAATGCATACAGAGCTAAAAGAAGGAAACTAGATTGATTATTCGAAGCATTCCATTTTGTTGGTGCCTTTCCCCTTTCCTAATCGTACCCATAATAATTATCATCACAATCACTGATAGCCTATTGATCAAATGAGTACAAGTATTATCACAATGACAACAACAAAATTGTCGTAAACAACAACGTCATTCATCATTAATAATTATTGTTACAGATATTATTATGAAATTCCAGTTATCTATAGCTATACCTTTAGCTTATAGCTTAGGTAGGAGGAATCATTCATAGAGACTGGTTTTAAAATTAGAGCTACTAATCTAGATGATATCAGTGTTATCATCAAATTATCATGTTGTGAACGAATAAGATGCCAATATGCTTCTAATTGTGTAAATATGAAACTAGCTAGATACAAGATGAGAACAAGTCTATAATAATGATATTATATAAGTTTGCAGTTTCGCTTTCAATATCAATACAACATCTCATTTGAACAACTTATTATTAACATGCCACTTAATTTTTCAGTTTTTCAACTGGTTCATTGCCATTATACAATTGACTACTGTCACTGCCCTTTCTGACCATATACAGTCATTTGAACATTTTAATACTTTGTGTTACAACAGGATGGATGAAAACAAAGTACTGGGAATTAATTAATGAGCTCATTGAAATAAAGCATAGTGTGCTGTGTTATAACAATAAATGTATAATGACAAGTCATTTTAATCCTTAAATAAGAATATCTTGCAGTTTGAAACAAGTATTTTGGATGACAGGAAAAAAGAATCTAAAAAAGTTTTTTCAACCTCTAACAATGAAATTAATGAATTTCATCTTATTCGACTCTTGTTCCCACGCTTAACTTAAATGTTGCATTAGTATAAACTTGTTTTTAAACTGTATTTTGTCGTATTTTACAGACTGGTGTAGATTATTTACTTATCCAGAGCTTAAATGCCCACGCAAATGGAATAGCAATTAGCAACAAAAGAAACTACAAATTTGATTATTTCGAGTGACAGAATGACAAAGAGAGATAGAATTACAAAAAAGGGACGGAATTTATGAGCGGAATTAAAGTGGAACTTTGCAAAAAAATAGAAAAGGTTTTTTTTCGATTTGAGTAGTCCGTTTCTGGTATATTGATGGGAATATGAGTCATATAGTTGGAGTGGAGCGTTTTTCTTCAGGAAATAAAAATATGAAAAATCTGATAATTTCGAAATAAAAGTATGAAGCCTTCATTTATGTTTTTTCAAGATTGTTTTATATGATTAGTTTTACCTAATAATTTTGTCAACAAATTATCCAACAAATGTTATTTGTAGAGTAGGAAATCTTCCTTCTTCCAATGAATTTATCCAATTATCTTTCACATCTTTTTAACGCGCAAAATTTTTTTTGAATATTAGCTCAGTGAGAAACCATGATAGAAACTTAATTTTTTACCGTACAATAAGCAATGTTTAGCCTATCAAACCTAATGAAACACTTATTAAAGTACTATTATCATATCATTAGATAACTAGGTTGCTAATGAATGATATGGGCAATCTCTTTATCTATTTCTTGATCGATACGAATTTTATTACTATAAGTTATCGTCATTTCGTACAACAAACTTGAGGAATGTCAACTTCAAATATTTCATTATTTCATTGATGACTTAATCCGAATCGTTTATAGCAATGATTACCGTCACAATGTTCACTTACAGAACGAAACTTAACAATGAGCAATAGTAGAAGCTAACCTCTCACGATGCGATTATTTTTGCCCTTCGATCCTTTGTAACAAATAGTCGGAATAAGGGCGGAAGCATTTTGAGAAAAACTGCTTTCAATAGCATTTATTTATCGATATTTCTATGCCTCAGGCAATATTTAAAAAGAAATGTTCGCTCACCAACAATGGTAAATTTGAGATAATTGTCATCTCACCCAACCAGAAATAGTACGAGTTTTGTCTGCAGTTATAATTTTAATCTTTCGCACTTTTTTCACAGTACTTTGATGTCAGAGCTAAACAGAAACACTGAATCGAAAAAGCACCACAAAAATTAATTTTTATTGACAATCTGTTAGTTTTTGTTAGGATCATCCACTTGAGCTTGAACCTATCACTTTCACATTTTTTCTTCACGCATAAAACTGTATTTTTTTATGGTTCTATTTCTATTGGCTCTTAACACTGTATCTTTCACTGATGCTTCATGAAAGAAAAACAAGGTTAGTTTATTGTATAAATCATCCAGCAGTTCGAAAATACAGAACACAAGGAAAATCACATTTCAGTGTTACAAAATAGTTTTTTAGGAAAGAAGTTTACAAGAAAATTCACTGGGAAAAAGATGATGTAACGAAGACAAATACATTTTTTCAACTCTTCTGTTGCATATGTACATGAAATTTCACAGCTGGCACATTTTCCACTGATGATGTAACTAAAGATGTGATACCGAGGTTGTACAGTGCACCCCTAAAAAACGGAATCAACTCTTAAAATAGAATATTGAAATAGGATATTTTGAAAAAAAAAAAAGAAAACGCAAGGAGAACCTTACGATACCACATGAAAAGGCTAAATAGATAGCAGATTCTTCCACATATTGTTTTCCTTCCGGAAAACTTGTTAGGATGAAAAATTTGTTATCCTGTACAACATAAATTCCCTGAAAAAGTATTGTAAAAAAACAAGTCATATCCAAACTGAGGACCTTCTATTATAAAGCAGGTTCATATAAAAAAGAAGTTATGGAAGCATAACCTGGTGATTAGTACGTAAATTGTCAACCTGTCTGCCAAATACAGCAGTCCAAAATTCTTTACAAAGGAATTTCATCCTTTCCAATTCAGTGATTAATCTAAAAATAGGAAGACAACAGATATTACAGCTAACAATTCAGTAGACATGTATTACTTATTCTAAGTAATCTAAAAAAAATAACATCATAAACCTCGGTAAGTCTTTAGCAATTTTTTCAACAAGCACGAAACCAACACGGTAACCGAGAGCTTCCAGGCGTGTCTCAGCATTACCCTGCAATTAAAGATCTGACCAGAATCAGTATGCAAAAATACAATGAAAAAAGAGCTTTTGTAAAATTCCAGAACAAGCAATTTTTCTGTCCTGTTGTGCAAACCTGAATGAAGAGTTGTTTCACGGATTTCAATTGTTCATCTAATAATGAGATTTCCATTTGCGGATTGCTGCGCATTTGTTCAATCCAGATTTTTCGTTTGTCAGTCCGCTCTACCTGCAATGCATAATAAATAACATTAATTAATGCAAATCATAAGTTGAATTTCACATCCTATAACTCCAAAGGACAATAAAAGATATTTATTGCCTACTTGCTAGCAGCCTTCTCCTTTCATTTTTCTTCTTTCCTTTTCATGACTTTTTAATTAACCAATTTTGAAAATATTTAAAATTTTACTTCAAGATCATTTGCTTCTGAAATTCCGTATAAAAGCTATTATTTTCACTTTGTGAAACATTACTGCGGTAAAATCTCCCAAATGAGATGTAAGATATGTAAGTGAATTGAAAACTTATCTCCCGTTGTTTTTCATAGCGTATTATTTCAGCATGCAAAAACTCGAACGGAAAACAAGGTCCGGATACTAGTGAGTTCATCAAGCCTCTAATGTTTGTTTATAAAAATCATAGAATCATGGTCATTGCAAAGTCCAACTAAAAATGACTGCTTTAATTCTTCAAATGAAGCAAAAAGAAACACCCTAAAGATAGTCTGCCACAGCAGACCCACAAAATCTCAAAAATATTCCCAACAAGTCTCCTGAAACTACAGCTATTTTACTCGGATTTCGAAGTTAATAACTGAAAAACCAAAAATGATATATCCAGTTCAAGTTAAAGATTCCAATGAGAAAACACCTTATCGGTATATTTTTTGTCACAAAGTACCCTCCTCAATGAATGCATGCAACAATTTCATGCAGTATATACTCCTCATTCACAACATTAATACTATGTCACACTTCAACAAAACATGGAAACTTCTCTAAACATTGCCAACTTAAAAGTTCTCTTTGACACACCGTCCACTATTGTTACATAACAGTTTAAGATTGGCCTTACCCTTACCCCAGCTTCTTCGCGTACCCTATTTTGAAAAAATATAAACAAATATATCGTGCTTATCGGTCATGTTTCGCCAAAGAAATGGGAAGATTTTACTAATTATAAAGTTTTATTTATGGATTTCATATCGAATATTAGCATCACGAAACGATAAGAGCAGAAGGGAGAACATACACTTTATCTACTTCGAAAGAATAAATTTTTTTGACTAGATAACATATAGCAGAACCTTTCCTAATCATACATTTAAAAAAGTATCTTATTACTTAAAGATTGTGAAATGATAAGTTGACAGATTAATGTAATATACGGAAAGAAGTACTAAAGAAAGAAAATCAAACAGATTCGATGAGACAGATCCTACTAAATTTATGTATACATATAATATATTAAAGGGAAAAACAGTAATATGGCAAATCCTTCATTAGTTTTTATGTATCATGAAAAAAAAATGCCTTTGATTTTTTGGACAAAAATTTCCATGATCCAAATTACACACTTCTTTTTTGGTCTTTTTTTTTTGTTTATCTAAATTTCCGTCCTTCAAACAGCATCCATTTCTTCTCTTCCATGAATATTGAGACGACATTTGCAAAACCGCACTTTTATTATTCCTTGTTTATCTTTTCCTTGCAAAATGTTTGAAAAAGTTACGCTCTTTCTTCTTACGTAAGTCAGTACGATGGAAAGTATACTTGTAACGATTCGGCATTCCTGAAATTCGTTTGCAAAATGAACGTAAAAATAAAGAAAATGAAAGTCTTATGATAAAAACAGCAATTAAATCTCAAACTTGTGCTAATGACTGCTTACTTTTAATACGTGTTGAACGACGAGGCTTTAGTGCTGATCGAAGTATCATGGACGACACACATTTTGTATCAGTAAGAGCAGGAAACAACCCGTGTTTGCGGGGTGACACAAGCCTTAGAGTATGTGATGATTTTCTTATTCCTATGCGTGCTGTAGTTTCTGGAAAAAATGAAGGACTGTCGATAGTCTTCAGAGATTTCCTATCCATGTTCTTTTTTCTCGGCGCCGCAGGTGGCTGCGGAGGTCGGGAGGGTGGAGTGACAAAATTTGTAGTTATTGCCGTATCTGCACTGATTACAGTACGTTCATTTTCTCTCTGCTCGCTAAAAATTAAATTCCACGTACTGTTCACGTAACAAAAATATACTACAATTTTTGGCTGCATTTATGCTTCAAAAAGATTGAGTGGTTGCATATTTTATTTAAGAGATCTGAAGTCATAATGTTCACTACTAAAGGTTCTGGAACTAATAGAGATAAAGTGCTAAAGACAAAGTGGTGATCCATAATATTTGGAAAATATTGATGTGAGTTATATCCATAATGTGAATTATATTTAACTTCATAACATAATACAACAGAAATGATAACAAACTTGATGAGGATTTCATTCGAATTCCGACTTCCAGAAGCACCATGAATTTCAGTAAACGATTCGGGGGAGGGTGTTCGTGGTGGAGTGCCATTCGGTCCAAACGGATTTACTTCTGGTAAATCCTCTAAAGACACTGAAAAAAGATTATTCAATATCAGGATAGTTCGAATCAGTCAATGAGAAAAACTAGGAATAATGCACAATTAGTGACCGAATTCCACTTCCTCCGTTAATGTCCTTGCTCGGCGTCGCACTGGAGAGTGCCTGGGTGTTGCATGAATGGGATGAGAATCTAATAATGACGGAAAAGCATGAGAATGAAGCGATGAATCCGACAAAACAGAATCAGATGTGACATCTGAAGAGCGCGGCAGCGTATGTTCGGCCAAAAAGGGTGACATAGAAGCTTCTCTTCCTTGTTCATTATGATTCTCAGGTCGTCTGGGTTGTGAAAAAATTCGTAAAATGTTTTCTCTGAAAGAAATAACTTTTATTCCTATCTTTGATAGGCATTTAATCCTCATTTAAAGAAAAACGATTTTAAATCTAGCTGACATTTTAAAACCCGCTAAAAAAGTAATTAATACATCTTACAGAAACGCTATTATGAAATAAGAGTTGTGCCGGAAATTGAAAATTATTGAAAAAAGGTGAAAATCCATAAATAATAATGGAAAATGATACTCTTTCTTACATATTAACAGGAGGCAAATCAGGCGGTAACATGTCTCTCAAACTGAAAGTACCAGTCCTATTAGTACGATTTGGTCGCAGAATTGGACATATATTTTCCTTGTTCTCATCTTCGATGTACCAATTAGTATTTCTTACGTCATCAGATTCAGATTGTTCAAAACTCAAATCACTGATCTTATTTGATTTAGAAGTAATCAATAAAAGCAAAGTTAACGTTATTAAAACATAACAGTTAAATTCATTAAATATGACAATTTTTGAAGGAAAAGAAAGAAATTTCTAAAAGGAAAAATATTTAACGTTCTTTCAGTATCAAAAAGATGTGAGGTACATACTGGAGATGCTGTAAACGATATGCCATAAGATCAGCCGTTGAACTATAATTTATTGGATCCACACGAGGAAAATTATTTATCGATATATTCAGTCCACTAACACCACTATCGTTACTCCCGGATCTGAAAATGCAGTGGTGTAAATGACTGAACAAAAAGAGCTGAAAAGTTTGCTAATTTTTTGAAGATATTTTCGAATGAAACATTATTTAAACTAAATGATATAATGAGACATTTTCTGTTTTATTATATCTTTTTTTGGTCGGACTTCGGTGGACAGATATTCTACAAACTTGGAAACATTTTAAAGGAGTCATTTATGAATACTCATAAATGAAGAATTCCATTAACTTGATATAACTTTACTTACACATGATGACCTATCACTTGACCCGTGATTTGTTGATTCCTGGCCAAGTCTCGAGTTCTATTATCAGACTGATTCGTTAAGTCCATTACTCGATTCATCCCTACTGTGTTAAGTAACTTCAACAGCGCAAGATCTGTAATGGAGCCCACAAGATTTAAGACAAACATCAATAAGACTGAGACAGTTATCACTTCATTCTTTTTTGTCAAATATACAGTGCACTTATGTGGACTGCATACATAAACATCGCACACAAACAGTCCTTATTACTGTAATTCGAAGAAGGAAGAGATAGTAAGAATTTCATTTTGCTAAGATTGTACTTTCATTCATATCTAATTTTTTTCAGAGGTCACCCACTAATAGTTTGTCTCTCCTTCTCTGTCATTGCCCCTTGACCTTCGCGCGCAACTGATACTATATAAAGGATAAACAATGATGTTGCAGGTTCAAAAGAATGTGCAGGAATAGTAGAATCAGAGAAGATAAAGATTTATGGGTACCTAATGCTACCGAAATGATTATGAATCGCGCGGGCTGTGCCGGGAAGTTGCATTTAAAAATAGTCAAAAGTGCAACTACAACCAGATGACTAGTGTGGACATCTATAAGAATCTATACTTCAAGGTGAACACAACAACCATAAGTGAGAATTTACTACTTGAACATTATGCATGACAATAAAGTAATCTATATATATATATATATATATATATATATATATCGATATTAACTACCAGTAAAATACCAGAAGCATTCAATATCGATGAAACTGCAAGAGAGAGAAGAAAAATTAAAAGGATTAAGATATCAGAAAAGAATGATATATATATACATATTTTTTTTCAAGAATGAAATATATATATATATATTTTTTCAATTAACTACATTTCTTTTTTCTCCTGACACGTTAGTAAAGGTGCAACTATGAACTGTGACTTTATGGCGTTCTAAAGTATATATAAACATCTGTCCTCTACAACAATTCCCTTTTAAGACTTTTAGAAGCAACTTTTCTGAATTTTCACAAAAGTATGAAAAGATATCGAAGAGATACATAAAAAAGTTGATGGTAGTCAACAATGAGAAATGATCAGACTTTTGACGTTTGGAAATCGATATAATGTAATGAAGACCAGTGAAGTTAAAATGACAAATGAAAAGTAGAGACGATATGTATGAATGACTATTAAACAATGGTAAGAAATAGAAATCAAAGGCATATGCATATTCCATATTTTACCGTAAGCTAACTGATGATTCGGAATCGAAAAATGAATCTGCATTTTCTATCTGCATTTTACCTGATTCTATAATAAAGGAAAGATGCCAATATTATTAGAAATTTCTCAGAATTTAATAATATATCGAGAAAGCGCAAAGTGATGTATAACACAATAAGCAGAAGTTATTTGCCGACTATCCCCTCACTGACATTACGAGAAAAATAAGTAATCAGGAAGAGGGAGAGGAGGGAGAAATGAAAAAAGGAGGGAAATGGAATGTATGATTTTCACCTCCCATGCAAAACAGATGACCAGAAAGACCTTTACCTGGATAAATAAAAAGCAAGCGTAAATAATGCATTCCCTCCATCTGCCATCCCATTGCGTAATTATTTTCTTATTGCTCCTGAACACCAACAAAAACGGATGGGAAAAAGAATAAGCAATAGAAAAAAAGAACAGGTCAACAGCTCAAACCATAAATCATAAAAATGAGCTGTTCGATAGTAACAACTGTAATTTCCAAAATTAAATTGTAACAAAAATGGTTCAAAAGAATGAGAGTAATAAGGAATGGATAGTGATGAATCAAGATCAAGTGCCTCTTTGACTGAAGAAAAATGCCGTAGACTCGAAAAAAGATAGAATACAGTTCATGCACTATTCTCTCAAAGAATCCTAATCTTTAACAGTACTACAATATATTAAGCATTTTTGTACTAAGGATTAAAGAAGTCGTTCCAACATTTAAGTTTACGCGAATTAAATGAGGTTATATTATCAATAGAAACCAAAGATTTTTTAAGTTTGTCCTTAAAATACAAATAATGTAAACAAGAAATTGGAGGAAATTTTAAAATATTAAAAATGCAATCATGTACAAACCATCTGTACAATTTTTTAATTATTTATGTAAAAGAAATGCAGATTAGAAAATCACCCTCATGAATAAAGTGCTTCTCTGATACATGTTTTAATACTGATCCTTTGACATGAGTTATTTAACTACTTGTTCTTTCTGAGTTTTTGGGCTTGATACTGGTGACGATGTCATCATTGCAAGCAGAGCTTCATCACTTAATTCATCGTCGTTTGAGGTAATTCTTGACACTGGATCTGATTTCTGGATCGGACTACTAAATATGTCAGTCGAATTCATTCTCTCAGTGAAGAACAGAGTTGTTCAAGTTATATGGAGAAACAAAAAAATAATAAGATAAAGCTAATCTATTTTTCACTTACATTAAACTCAAAACTTTAATCTTTAACAAAAATATGAAAAAGTCATATCATTTTAAAGGAACCAAACTGAATGTTGCAAACCTTTCAAGCGCCAATCTGAGGAGCTCATTATCGCTGTCGTCATCGCTGTGATATTCTGATGTCTGTTGCTTCGACTTTGATGACGCGATTTGTTCTGTATGTTTTTCATTATTCCTGCAAAAAGTTTTTACTTAAGTGACAAACACTTAATTTTTCTCGAATAAATTAGAACAGTTTGAAATTTAGACTGTACAAATTGCAAACTCTTTCGGAGAAACAAATACGGCCTTTTCTGGCACTATTAAAAGTGCTGACAATCCGCAAACAGAATAAACAACTGCTGGAAGAAATGGTCACGTTTGTCTTTTCCTTCTACGCAACTTTCCTAGATTCTATTAATTAACTCAGACTTGACATTCTTTAGTTGTCAGTAATTCATTCACAACTCACAGCTGGGCAGGAAGGCCTGGAACTGCTCGAAAAACGACACAACCAAACAATTTGAATGATCTTTTCATTGGACTTACCATCTTACTCTCCCCATGGATAAGAGTGAGTCAGATTTCAACTTCATTTCTAGCTTTTTGGTGCTAGATACGTTGTTGTCTATCCCCACTGTCATCTGCTCCTGAAAGATCCACTGTTTTAAAATTACTTTTATTCTATAAAACCACCAGTTGTCTAACGTCCACATTTTATCATATTTCAAACTGTAACCAAAAGATGCAACTATTTTAATTTACTCTAAATATCATTATGAAAATCCTGGGTCAAGAATATATTGAACATTTTAATGGCAAGTGCTCAACAGAAATGGCTCAAATTAATAATGGTGGATCTGACTTATGTAGTTACAGCAAATCATCATAAAATCGATGCTTAACATCTTAAAAAGATGTAATACTACATCAACGAAAAACATACTACAAAAAGCACAACTTACTTCGCAAAGTTTCTTCTGAAATGAACATTCATTCGAAGCGCCATATGTTGAACACTCTGGTATTATTACACAGGAAAGCTTTTGATGCTGTGCTTGAGAAAATAACAGTTTTCTTTGCTTCTCCTTTTTGATTTTATCTGAAAATAATTCAAAAATTACAAAGTCAATAATTAATTTTAGCAATCAATTTGTGATGATATTCATAATATTCTGTGCTTCAAAACCTAAAGAATAAAATGTATTCTAGATTCAGCAGCTCATTGAGCCTGATATGCTTTCCCATTAGTTAAAATTATGCTTTAGACTACAACAAATCTCGTCAGAATTAGATCAAGACTTTATATATATAGACTGACTGGCAATGCACTACCCGAATTTAAGAAATATAAAAAGTATATTTCCACATCATAATGTTTGAAGCATGATAAGGTTCAATATTTATAAACGTGTCTCTAATCATCAACGGTTAGTGACACTTGATAACACTCTCAATTTCAAAATCTCTACTTATGACTTTTCTTATAAAGATAAAAATTTTCTTATAAAAAGTGGCTAAAAATATACCTATAAAGACTTATTTGCGCAATAAGAATAAGTGAATAATTGATAAAGATGGCATAAAAAATATAACTAATGCATAAAAATGTAGGAGGATTTAACAGAATGACGGTATTACCGATGGCTTTTCTAGTTTCTTTGAGAGATCTTTCATAACGAGTTATATTTGCTTGACGTTCCGTCTCTTTACGCGCTTCTTCCTCCAATGTTTTTCTGTCCTGCTTTGGCCTTTGCAAATCTTTAAAGATCGCTGGAGAAACATGTGCAAGATTTTCGCACATTTCTGGATTGCATGGTGATGAAGCAAACGTCAACTACAGAGAAGATCGTATCAAGAAATAAAGGAATGAACTTTTTTTTAAAAAAAAAGAATGATTAATGGATGAATGCTCCGTCAGTTAAACCACTTTTTGAATAAGCAGGCAAAACTAGAAGGTGACGTATCCACTAACAACTACACATATACCGTAACACTATTATCATTTTTCTACTTCTGTTACAACGTTAGCACGATGAGCTTCATTGCTAGTTTACTGAAATATCCAAAAAAATAAAACCCCACAAAATAAAATCTAAAGAACATCTTTCAGAAAACCCCAATATCTATTAACAACTCTCATTTACGTTTCAGCTTGGCTAGTCAATCATTAGCTTGTCATTGTATTATTTCCTACTTCACCAAGTTAGTTTGCATTTCATCGAAATCATGAAATAAAATTTACACATGCATTAGCACGAACAGTTTCATCGTCAAGACCTTGATCTCTGATCCATGGGAAGTATTCGTCTGCCTTTTCTTCAAACCAATCGTCGAAAATCTTTTTCTCTATAAGCACGTGGAAACGATTTCATATTTCAACAATTTATTTCTTTCATAAATATATTCAGTAAACGAAAAATACATCAAAGATGTTCATAACATTCATTTTTTTAATATTAATGGAGAAATAAAAAATGATAATATGTAGCGGTCATGGTAATAAAAGCAAATAAGCTCCAATGGATCTGCGCCAAAGTTTTTAATACTAACTTTATTTGCTGCGACCAAGTTCACCATTTTTTAAAACACAAAAAGAGCCATGCAATGTATCCTTTTTCAGGACAAAATGGTCTCGCAAGTAAGTTGTCATATGCTCCTCTATAGCTGCCATACTACTCTATTAATAACTCAACTCAAGGAGATTGATTACCTTTAATTTCTATTTGTGTGACTATTTTTCTTAACTCGACTTCAACTCTACTGTTTATTTCATACAAAAGCATCTACCTTCTTCGGGTGGATTTGCTCGTCGATGCTTGTTTATCGGTGACTGTTGCCATGAATAACTGTACAAGGCTTTCCTGCGCCCCTCCATCATCTGCACCCAGTTCTACTAATAATCTAGAAAAGTACTAATGAAACCTAAAAATTAAACATTAAATCAAACTTCCATCATAACGATCATGAAAATTACCAACTGATCAACAAATACACTACTACAATCTCTAGTTAACATATTACGATAGTATGAAGGTACTGTTAAGAGCTATTACGATGACACGATGATTCAGAGTATAGAAAAATGAAGATCAATGAAGAGATCTTAACGTTTACTTAATTAACTCAATTATAAAGTTTAATTCAGGACAAGTTCAGACACGATTCTAGCCATTGTTTACTTCATTAATTTACAAAGTAATGCTTTCCAACAATTCACACAAATTTATTATACGCAGGTTATTTCATTTTATTTTTTCACGTATTGTGTCACGTACGTGCCCAAGCAGTCTACTAACATTATTGCGTTTACCAGTTCTGTTGAAAATGCGCACAATATTGCTGAGATATACATAATAATCATCAAAAAGTTCTCAAGAGATTATCCTCTAGGAATTTACAATCCCGACAACTCACATCTCCCATCTTGAACACACTTCCTCGAGAGATAGCAAGCGAAACACTGCATGGTCAATTGGAGGCTTTCGAGACGAGAATGCAAGAATTTGCGCGAATTTGAAAGGCTGAAATTTGACTATTGAATGAAACGCCGAGTTACATCAATTCGACTGCTCTGTTTACTTTTTTTTTATAAAGCTATGAATTTTTCTTCACATTTAACGTATTTATCAACGTTTCAGTCCTTTGTAAGCAATGAAAGTGCCCTCAAGCACTTCACATTTGCGCGCAGCTGTCACATGCGCCAACATTCTTTCACTGCTTCTACATTAATTTGTTTGCCATTCAGTTCGACATATTATGTTTGATATATATATATATATATATATATATATATATAATATAATGTTACAGTGAATGAGCTGTAATAATTTCCAGTATAATGTTTGAGTTGATAGATGACTCAGTGCATGTGTAAGATGGACAGCAGATGGATGGCGCATTTGTGCACATCCGCTCTTCTTTCGTCGAAGACTTTTCCTAACATTGGAATGTTTTGAAATTACAAAATAATTTTGAAACGATTAAAAGTCCGAACTTTTGTTGACTCAGCTCGTTTTCAGTATTGCTTTGTTTTTATAATATTTTAATCGAATCACGACTTTTATTACTGGTTAATTTTTTAAAATGATCGTGAAAATGTGACTGATTTGGAGAACAGAATGCGTTTATCTTTATGGCTTGCAGCCTGATAAGGATTAGAGCTGGACGTATCTTCTTATCTCTCTGTTTACAGTAGTGATGATAAAGAGAGGAAGGCTGAGTTCCATAAGTGTATTATTTATTCCAAATGTTTGACTAAGTCTCTTATCAGCACTGATAGTTGTGGTATGGTTTAATCATATCATCAGTATACTGGTTCCTACTATGGGCTCAATTTTTCAGCTACCTTGCTGTCTCGAAACCAATGTGGAAACCATGAAATCAAGAAAGAATGCTTCATTTAAAAATTTTCACTTGTCAGAAAGCAGAAACGCCATCACATGTTCCGTAATTACTACTCGTATCGTATCTATTGAAATACAAAAAGAAAAGACGATTTCATTTCTTTGTTAAGCTTTGTCTTGTAATGAAATATCCCAGAAATGGTCCTGGATCTAATTGATTTAAGTCTTCAGGCATTGGTTTATCTTTGGTCTCCGGTAAAGTAATGGCTAGCACCGCTGCAGCAAATGATAAACCGGCTAGGATGAATTGCGGTACTTTGCCGTCACCCAGATCCTATAAAAGAAAAATTTTTCGATTTGCTTATGTTGACAACAAAATGGCACTATATATATTGTCTTACATTACATGATGAATTAAAATCTCCATGAAAGTTGCCGAGATATTTCTAAATGTTTTTCAGTAGTAACTTAAACAACGAGCTTTAAATTTTTGTTTCTCTTCTTGCTACTCATTGTTGCTAATTTGTGCATCTTGAAGATTAATTTTCAATTTCAAGAACATAAGTTTTTTTTCTCGACTTACTGAATATTTGAGTAATGGTGAAAACATGATTCCAATGCTCTGAGGTATATTAATTATTGAATAACTGATTGTTCGAATGGTTGTTGGCATCATTTCGTTTGCCAGTAAAGGATGGGTTGCATATACTACTTCGTTGATCATTCTTCCGAATAAGTTGCATGATATCCGAGCCCATCGAATTCCTAAAAGTTTACGAAATCTTTTTGATTAATGTTTGGTTAAAGCCTGAACCAGATTTTAAAATCGAAGATTGAATTGAGTTCAAATTTGATAATGAAGTTTTTCCATAAATGCCTGCAAATGGATTTAGTGATGAATATGTCAAAAATTTAAGAAATCATGGAATTATCACATAATGTCTAGCAAAAATTAGACTAATTACACACTCTCAAATTGAATTTAATAACTGCGAATTAGCAGAACAGAATCCAAGCAATTGGAAGAAGATCAGTTTAATTAATTGTAAAAGACATGACCAAATTAAGAAATGCGGAACTATCTAACATACCTTGAACGAATGGTGTAATAAGTGCGGCACAAGCTTGCAAGAAAAATGATACGCATGCAACAGAACGGCGACCAAAAAAATGCAGCAATGGAATAACAATGATACCTCCCGGGATCTCTGATAAACCGGATAGAACATAACCGGTGAATGCATGCTCGGTTAGATTGACACTATTAAATGAAACAACAAAATAATAAAAGTTCATAGTCATCCTGAAAAAATGTGTACAGATATAACGAATATTTAACTTCACTGTTTTAATCGAATGATACAAAGATGAATTCAATTCAAACTTCAAGAAATTTCCAATTTCTTATCCCGATTTTAGTCTGATTCCACAATCCGCTTTCTCGAAATTAAGCAGTGAAAAGGGATAGGAGAGAGTTTTAGCTTCTCTTTTGGTATTTTTTGTATCATTTCATCAGTTTTCCTCACTTCAAAAAACTAATTCACAAAAACTAACGGTTGCTTACGTGATATAGCCGTTGACAAACAGAAAAAACATAATTCGTTTATATTTAAATAAATCACAGACACTTCTTTCTTTAAATTCTTCTGCAAGTCTCTTCTGGATACTTTCCGATTGACATTTATTTAAATCAATTTTAACATTATTGAACCTGAAAGAACAAATTACTACAGATAAGTGGTCATTACGATTATAAAATTTACAAGACGAGATCTGTTAACAAAGACTTCACGGTTATAATCAAAAATTTCTCATCTTAAATTATAATGAAATATAAAATAAAATATATGGCAAAATATATTGAAGGACATAAATATAATTTTTTTGATTTGCAAAAATTATACAATTTGTGATGTTTGTACCATGAAGACATTTTAATATACTTTTGGATGCCATGTATCCGTCTGCGTGAGATCATCCAGTGTGGTGATTCAGGAAGCAACCTGGAATCAGTATTCGTTTGCTTTTGACCGAATTTTTCTTCCAATGATAAAATTGCACAATTAAAAAGCTTTTTAAATAACTAAAAGTTTTTGATTTGTTTGAAAAAATACAATAAATTTTATCAAGAGTCCAGCAAGAACTGTTAATTATCTTATTAAAGAATTATTTTATTAACTAATACTTATATTTTTAGGTAATCAGATCTTTCAAAAAGATGCTTCAGTAATTGGAGAGTGAAGAGTGAAAGTATTTAACTTTTTGCAACTAATCTCGTAGGTTTCATCTAAATAATATGATCGCAAATTATACCAGAAATATACAATAGTCAATAAACTGGGGACTGCTGATATGAAGTATAGTTTTCTCCAGTCCTTAATGAACACTTCCAAAGCTCCGACATACAAATATCCGAGTAGCCAAAATGTTACTCCAAATAAACTTATCCATTCACGAAATGATCCAGCTACTGTTTCACAACAAAGAATTGAGCCAATTGTCAAATAGGTCTGAAAGAAATTGCTTCTTTTCGTTGTGATTAGTTTTTAAGCCAATCGGAAATAGCAAAGATTTTATTTAAAATAAGTTCGACTTGTAATGCTACAAAAAAGCAGATGACAGCTGTATTTGGGGACTCTTTTCTGCATTGGATTGATGAAGCAATCTTTTGGAATCTGTTAGTTTTTTATTTTAAATATGATATTTTTTAGTGACAGAAATTTTCTACATTCTTAAACGAATTTGGAAAAAATGTCGAAAAGTGATGAGAAGATAGAATATTCTTGAATGAGAATGAGAAAAGATATTTCAAAACCTGGTCTGACTTGAAATCTAAATGTAAAGTGATAATTTTGACTTATTTCTATAATCATTCCCAAAATTGTCTTATGAAGAACAAATTACATCGGCTGCTGCTCCCACAAGAAATCGCAACAATACGAAGATTGCATAATTAGGTGAAAATGCTATAATAAAACTGAATATGACACTTGAATACATGGAAATTAAAAAGATACGTCGGCGACCATACCGATCTGATAGATGTGATGCTATTGGTACTACTAGAAGAGCACCTGAAAACATAAGTGAAAGTTTCTGCGAAGAATTGTTAGATACTAATTAGTCATGATCAAAATTGATGGAACTATATCAATTAACTTTATGACACTTCGTCAGATTAGTATATAGTAATCAACTGATGACAGAGAAATTACCAGCCGAAAAAACTGAAAAACCAGCTTCTTGTATAAATGGGTTGACACATAATAATTCATACTGCAAAAATCGAGCTCTGATATTCGATTGTTTATTTTTTCTTCCTTACATTTTCAATTTAAACAAATAATCCTTATGTCGCATTTGCTATACGATTTAGTGATGATATTATGTTTCAAACAGAGTGATATTTTAGTAATGATTTGTTTCTTTGGATTTTTACTACAATTTTTGATATATTTGTTTGATTTTCCGACCAAATTGTTTGATTTCCGACCTTAAGCTAATTTTTTAACTTTGGAAACATTTCTTAGATCAATTTTACTGCGATATTTTATTTTTTTAAATAAACTGCCTGGTATTTTTGGATTCTTTCCAGCTTATATAAAGCTTATTCGTATGATCTGTGTCAGTTGTTTGGCTTTGTCATTTGATCTTTTAGTTTGTTTTTAGAATTTTTTAATTACGGTGAAGAAATTTTAGGACTTCTTACTGTTTGTTTGCTTTATTCTTGTTTTATTTATTTATTTATTTCTGTTGACTCCTTCATTGCATTATGGTTATGGTAATATGATAGAGAACCTCGAAAAGTATACTGTACGATTGATCTGTTGAATTACTGACAATTGATGTTCCGCTATTAACTGAAGCACATCTCAGTTCGTTTCCTGTATTCACATCTTTAATCATGCAGGGATCCATTGTATTAATCATTTCGATTCGTGTCTAAGATCAATTTTCTAATGAAAGCCGTCGAAACTAGTTTGATCATTTGGCTGAGATCAATTTACTCTTTAAAATGACCTAAACATAAACTCTCTAAGATTTGCTCGAAACTGGATGACTGAGCTTGTAAATAGTGCTTGAGGTGCATTTCCAAAACAATCCATTTTCTCATATCTTGCACTAGTTAAGGTGTTTAGAAACTTTTTAGCTTCATGATATGAATCAAGTTATAAAATATGGATTTGTTTTAGAAAAATAATATTCCATGATAGAAATGGCAAACCGGATCATTAATCTTGCAAGCAAAATCTTGCGGTTTTCGATTTACAAAAATCATAATAAATATTGATACAGCATAAAAAAAATTGGTTAACTGGCAAAGCATATAGGAAATCATTTGATATCGTCCATACGTACCAAATTCATTGAGTAACTTATTTGCATCCAACGATTTGTACATATCACTGGAATATTTAAATGTATAATTCCTCTCAGTCTTCAGGCAAAAAGATTTTTCAATAAGACAGAAATCACTCAATCACTCTCAGGTTATTAAAGAAGTAAGAAAGGAAACAATCGATAAGTAAGTGGATTAAAAAAATCCTTTGACGTTTGTCATCGCAAGCTCATTAGATTTCGTATTTTGTCTTTGTCTCTGACGAATGAGTCTTTTTGAAACTGGGAAGTAATCAAAGCTTTATACTCATTTCTTGGAACTCCCGGTTCTATCTCCGCTTTATTTGACCATTCGTCAGCTTCTTTTGGTAATGAAGCTGGCAATAACTTGTATCTATCTGTAATTGCTAGCTGATGAAAAAGTAAATAATTATGTTAGCGACTGAGTTCTCGTGATAAATCTTAAAGGACTGTAGAAAGACTACTAGGAAAAACCGAAAATATATAATTGCCATACCTTTAATCATCGTTAGTATGAAATAGATGGAACTCTTAGGACTCGCAAATATGAAATAACTAAAAGGTTTTCCTTCCAGACATCTTTATATATGTTGTTCTTCAATCAATAAATTAAAATTTTCCCAAGTCATAAAATATGAACTGCGAACATTTCATGAAGTTATTACTTTAGAAAAAATTCTTTAGAACGGTTGGTTTTTCTGCAACATTTAGTTAAATAAGGAATAGATTAGGCGAGATTAAGCGAGGAAGAAGAAGCGAGTAGTAAATTGTTTTATGATTCTTACTTAGCATCTTCTTTGTCTCGGATTCTCAAAGTTCACATTTTGAATAAAAATTAGTGAATTTTTACTTTTGGAAAATTTGCTGATTACGGTTATCAGTTATTATATGGTAGATGATCCACATTTATCACAATATGTGATATTAACTAATTGATTAGAGTGTTATGGGTTGTAATCGATCCAGAATTTATCATGACAATGAAGTGGGTATCGATCACAAAGACCTTGCATTAACAACATTTGAAATGCAGAAGGCTGACATTATCCATGATTTGGATACGGATAATGACCAGAACGGAAGAGTAGCAGTAGACTGCATTTTCAGGCCTACCCGGTATGTCACGTTTTTTTAGATTGGATTTTATTTTCACTGGTAGTTAAGAAGATGGAGAGGATAAAATAAAGAATTTTTTTTACGTCTATTCTAAATGTCAAAAATATTTCGGTAATTTTGAAGTTTCAATAATTTGAAAAGAAAATAGTAAAATTTTCATTACAGAGAAATTTATGGACAACGAGCCATAGATATGGCAGAAGAACTAATCGTGTGGTCAAAATACGGTTAATTATTAATTGATATCTTCTTATTTCAATTCTTACTTCATCGTTTTTTACATTCTGCAGAATAAGATTGAAGTTATTAGTAAAGTATCCATTATTGAGTGTCGCAAGTGTTAGTAGTTAATAAATCAAGCTTTTGTTAACAACAATTGATATATTATATCAATTGTTGTTAACAAGCACTGGTACAAAGTTGCGATTATATAATTTAATTTTACAAAATGTAATGTAATTTTAAAATTTGGAGGAGAAATTAATATAGCAAGTTTAGGGATAAAATTTCGAAAACGACCATTCCCGCATGACTTCCCAGCATTTGCACATGAAAAGCCAGCAGTTGAATTAGCCCAACTGAGTCGGCTCCGTCTTTCAACCGAACGGCAAAAAACAGTACAAAATCCTGAATTTGAAAAAATGCGAGAAATAGGAGAAAATGGAACTACTGAAGATGCTGTAGTGAAGAATTAGCAAATTCGAATTAAAATTTTCCACTATCAATTTGATTTGTCTTCCATAATTATAATGTATTTGAAAAAATTTTTGAGGCTTAGATTGTTTGCTTGACTACAAATACGTTGCAATTCCAAAATTAAAAAAACAGTATGAAACAGCAGAGTAGTTCGCATTTACGGAGATTTGATTTCTATATAAGCCATTTAATACGTAAACAAAGTTTGAAAGGCCAAAGTATCACTCAAGTTTTTCACGCAAATTTCTAGACAAGATTTTCCGTACAAATTTCGCTAAAATGTCGTGACATGTTCCATCTTGATTTATTCGATACTTGTTGGATGACATGCAAGTTACGGACAGACTAATGTAACTGTACGCCAAATGTAAAGAGCAAGTGGCCTGAAAGCCCAAAATAGTTGGAATTGACTAGAAATTACTTCTTTCTAATCTAATATGAATAAAGTATGAGTGATATTTGTTATTTGGCAAACTCGGTTGCCTGACCATAAAAATTTTTGGATACCCTGGAAAACCTACAAAACTACAACCGAACTCGGTTTTTAAAAATTTTTAAAACAATCAATCAGTAAATATTCGCGAACTTCTCGAACTGTATTGCGAGAATACCAAACCATATGAGAGGAATAATTATTTCAAAAATCATTTCACAACAGAAGACAATATAAACAGGAAGTGAAAATAAGAATTTGCATCGTTGACAAATTCACCGTGCAGTCTTTCCGGACATTCTGCAGTCTACCACTTCCGCGATGAATCGGAAAAGCGATAGGCAGTCGATCTTGCCTCATTTTTTATTTCTTAGACAATAATTTATTGTTCACTTCAGTTGGGATGCGAGAGTAATAAGAAATAGTACAGTTACGAAGGGGATTGAAGATTGACTAAAATTAAACGGTATGGGTCAAAGGTTGAAAGTGAGAAAATAGTGAGATAAATGGAGAGGCGGAAAGGTTGCTGAGACAGACTACAGCTAGAGATGAGAAGAGACTGTGAGTAGCTTATAGCAGTAACCATTCGGAAAAGTGACCAGATGATCCACTAGGACAGTAGAGATAATCAGAGAGAGAGAGAGAGAGAGGGAGAGAGGAGACCAGTTTACTGACAGAGGCCTTTTTTTTGAAGAAATTATCTTTGATGGGTAAGTAGGTAGGATTAAATAATTGGTAGTAAAGATAAATTGTGATGGAATTTTCCTGTGTCCTCGAAAGGATAAGAGTGATTTCATCTCGGTATTTTATATCACATTTCATTTTCATTTGTGAAAGTTTCTGGTTGTGTTTGGATTTAGAGATGTTACTCGTCAGAGCTTCTTTTACATCTTTTTTGATCGTCTCCTCAACTACCCATTCTTTGTATAACGCTTGTTTTGCGTGCGTCACGTCCTTCCAGGAGTTTATGTCTGATAATTTCAAGTTTGTGAACGAATGTGCGTAACGTTCATTTATTTGAATGATAAAGCGGTAGATGATCCGAAAAGTTATCAGTTGATCGTGTTAAACAATCGTGACGAGCTATTTGATCGACCTACGCTACCACCAACTTGGAAGGACGGTATTTTATGTGGTAATAATGTTTTTATTGTCCGTTAAGGATAATTTTTTCATTTACTATTTCATAAAACTTTTTGACAAAAGTTAGTTTGCCTAATTCATAATATATGCGTGACTTAAATTTGCTTTTCAAAGAAAAAGAAACTCTAATTCTCTATTTGTTGGTTAAGCTCGATTGAATTTTTAAGCCATCGAAATAGTTGTTTTTTCTTTCCTTACTTTTGCAGTTCATTTTTTATGTGATAAAAAGTTGTTGTAGGTCGAGATCAAGCAGATCCATATGGTGGCACCTGGTTGGGTATGAGCAGGGATGGGCGTTTGGGGAATGTTCTTGCAGTTCTTGAGAATGCAACCGACGAAATACCGTGTGCGATAACGCGTGGTCTGAATTTCACTATATTATAGAAAACTGAAAGTTGGTCTGAAATTAAACTTAAAATTTGAAAGTGATCTGGAATTTTGTTCTAAAATCAGATTTTAAACTTACAAAATACATTTGATCGTGAAATCATATAGGCAAAATAGTCTACGAATATTTGAAATCTGAAATGCCCCCAGAGGACTATGTGGCTGAACAGCTCTCCAACGAAGCACAACAGTACAATGGTTTCAACGTAATTTTACTTCATCGGTACGGAAAAAGTGCATTTGATAGTCGTTTCGAAAACGAACTCTGCGGAAACAAAATTACGTGTTTAAAACTGCTATTATTATAATTATGACTCAACTTGATGACGGTGCTCTTTGTCTTCCTTTTTGTTGACTGTGATAAATATTAGGTATTGCTTTTTTTAGTAATGCATAGTAATGAAGATCTCAAATTCTTAAAATTCACGTTATTTTTGTAATGTCAGTTGTCGGTTTATTTAACTTTACGAAAGTGCCCGTGTTAAATTCATGAATGATTTGCAAAGAAATATTTTTCTGCCAAAAATAAGAATATCTTTGGAAAAAAAGATAAGAATGATAAATAGAGGAAACAGAGGGAAACGAAAGAATTTATAGGTATTTGTGAATTAATACTGTCATTAATTTGCTTCATATTTAATGGGAATTCTTCTTGAACTATAATCACTTTATTCTGTTTTACTCCTAAGTTTTTTTTCTACAAATACAGTGATATATACTTAGTAGAGCCATCGTATCTGATATCTTCTACAGGCTCTTTAATGAAGAAATTGAACGAAAAACATATTTCGGAGTTCAGTTTTCTAATCGACAAGGCAGTCCAACAGCAGCATTTGGTCCCGGTTGGTGTTTATTATCGAAATTTTTGCCAGTTATCGATACAATGATGCATTTGTGTGTTTGCTTTTGACATCTTTGCTGATATTGAAAGTTAATTTTTTTTTTACTCTGACTTAGATTTAGTGGAAAAATAAGTGCGTTATATGCCTCCAGCTGTAACATTTAGTTAAATGAGACTTACTTTCTACAAGTTCACCGCATTATTATTATAATTTTATTTATAAACTGTATCAGTTCATCAAATTTACCTTTTTTGCAGTATTATCATTTTAGGTATTTATGGATTTGGAAATAGTGTATTAGGAAAGCCGTTTAAAAAAATAACTTATGGTTTGCGATTGTTCGAAGAGAAATTGAAAATACTAGATGATGAGAATGTTAACGAACAAGAGCTTATGAAGCAGTTTTTGGATATCCTCATCGATCAAACAAGGTAACACAACATTTATATTTTTGAGTTCTTCGTCCTTTTTATCTAAATGTATCCTAGGAAAATGATTTTGTGGTAGCTTGCATCACCGCTTTTCTAAGATACATTTAGAACATTATCTGTTTCCCTAGAATCTATTTCTACGGCTCTTTAATGAACGGCTCTGATTTAACAGGAAGTAGGATAACTCAAGATGGATTTAGTTTGCCATTTCTCTTCACTTTAAATTATGGAATTTTCGCTTAAAAAAAACTTAAGGAAATACTAAAGTTTTTAAAATGTCGCCATAATACTAGTGCAGTCCATATATGTGTTGTTAATAAAAATCTCATGACAAATTTATTTTATTAATTGCGCTAGTAATTATCTGAAAGCGCAACAAGCAAATACACAGAAAGAGAACATAATCAGTTTATTCTTCAGTCATTATCCTGATGAGCAGCTCATTTCTCAGAAAAAACAAGATAAAGACAGATGCAAACTTATGTCGCAACTGTTTTATGAATTTCCGGAACCTGTCCGATATGGAACAAGGTTTGTTTCAACCTTACGCTTCATTTCTATTTTATAAATTTGGTTTTTGGCATTTGCATCCTCACCACATAGACATTTAACAATTTATGCTTAATTTTTAACGTTTTCAATCATTTTTGAACATTTGAGAGAGCAACATTTTTAAGGTGTCATACCATTGTGCTGGTGAATGGTGTTGGTCGTTGTACATATTTTGAACGAAGCCGAAAACAGATAACTCCGGTGTCTATTGTTACTTGGGATGATACAATACATTATTTTGATCTTGATGACACGTAAAACTTTATAAGTCATTTCTGTGGTTTCCGAAATCGCATGAGTGGTGCAATAGTTGTGTTTTTGATGGACGGAACAGAGTGGTATCAGTTCTGAAATTTCATGATTTTCTGAAAATCTCGAGACTTTTCATATATATATCTCGAAGAAATTCATATTTTGGTGCTTTTGTTGAATAAATGTATAGTTTAATAAATTAATAAACTAAAAACTGTTCAGATTTGTTGTATCTGTTTATGACGCTTTTGTCACTTATTTGATGAGCCAGTCTAATTTCGAAAAATGATACTGTTCTTTTCCAACCGAAGAAGAGGTGGGATAAAATATATGGTTTAAATGTACTCTGAAGTTTTTGTTATGGTTTCACTGTTTTGCTGTGAGAAATTTGCTTCATTTTATTAGATTTTCATTGGAATGATTTATAATGGTGATACTATGTTATTGGAATGTAATTCTATTTAATGTTTGTTGCAGAGATACTTATTGGATTTGCTTTCTCAATTATTTCATTAATCGTGCATGCTGTAAGTCCATCTTTCTCTCCCATTTCTCTTATTTGGTCAGTCAGTGATTGTAGTTAGTTGATCAATCGTTGATTGTGATTTGTGTAATTAAATTAAAAATTTTCTGGTTTCATTTTTAAATTCATGGAGATGTGTGTGCTTACTTTGTATATAAACGTTTCCGCTTCTTTTGCTGTTAGATATATTGCATTCAGTGTACTGATTTTAATAATATAACACTCGTGGAATTATTGAAAGATGAGTAATCATTTGTGGAGTAACTAGTTAACAGTCTCAGACATTCTGAGAAATCCACAAGTGCGCGACACAGTTGGTCATAGTATACAGTGACGGAAGTTCCTCTTCAAGTATTATGTGATAGACAATGCGATAAAGAGAGCTGCTGTCACATCCTTGAAAAAGACCATCGTGATTAGAAGATGAAGTGTAGATGTGCATGTTTTCTTCATTACTGTAATATCTTTTAGCAAGGACTTTTTGCTGAAGTCTCGATTAAAAAATTAGTGGATTTAGGCAATAAAAAAGGAGTTTAATGGTCATTTATCACTATTTTAATACTAAAATCGAATGAAATAGTGGATGAAAGATCAATTCTTTTGCCTGTATGTCGTCAACGTTCTTCATTGTTCTCTGATAACCTTGGAAGAGACCCGTTTTGTTGGAGTGCGCATCTTCATTCCATTAATTGCCGAATAACTGGTTTTCTGGAATTGAATTCCTCTATGTCTCAGGAAATTTGTTGTGGTATTAATGCAACTACTGACAATAATTTACCATACATACCTTATCCATGATTTGCTCATGTTCTGATTGCTTCATATCAACCAAATAATTCATACTGTTATTTATGAGCGAATGTCTGTACTGATTTGCAGGATACTAGTCTTGTTTTATAATTCAAAATAAATTAATTATCTTGTCTATTATTTTCGATTGTTTAAATGTGCATAACTTTTGTGTACGTTGAGCACAATCCAGACGCCAAATATAAACTGATCCTGCTAAACAATCGTGATGAGTTGCTCAATCGGCCAACTAGTACCGCCAGATGGGAAAATGGCATCCTTGCCGGTACTTCATATTCACAATCGTTCAGTGGTGATTTTGATGATTAATGATGGACTGCTAAGTTAAACATACGAGAGTATAAATGATTGCATCTATCATTTCATTCCGTTCTGGGAGGGACTGTGGTTACAGTAAAAGTAAACATTATTTATAAAAAAAAATAAAGATTATATCCATAACATAAAGATTATATCTAAATAAAGTAAAGATTATATCTATAACAAAAACTAGGATTAAAATAACAAAAAAATGGTGTTAAAATGAAAGTGAATTCAAGAGAATAAAATTGAAGATAAATCAACCGATAGTTTTCAACAAACTCTTGAAAATCTTGTTCATCCTGAGATAGGAAATTCTTACCAATTTTATTAATTTTAAAATTAGAACTTGACTTTTGAACTTTCAAATCAAAACAATGTTTTCAGGACGAGACGAGAGAGAGAGTATACGCGGAACATGGTTGTGTATGAATGCTATTGGTAGCATTAGTAATTTACTAGCAATCACCGTACCTATACATCAAATGAAATCAAGTTCTATCACTGTCACCAGAGGTCAGATATTACTGTCTGTTTATTACGTGATTTATTCTATTCTTTATGTATTTATTGGGATTACTTCAGTCTTTCCGCTCTTCACTTTTCTACTTTCGATTTAACAATTACAACCACCAGGACTATTAGCAGCAAAATCGATGTTTCTAGAATTTGATCTTAGGTTACAATGGTTAGATTGTTAGCCATCCATAAAATTTCCTCAAAAATAAAAGAATATATTTTTAGTTACAGGTAAAAAATCACCTTTGAGAATTCCCACCAAGCATTCATTAATTCTTATTACTTAAACAATTTTAAAAGTTGTTTGAGGAACTTTCTAGGCCTAACTGGAAAATTGCGATACAGGCTACATGTAACATTTGATTTTGCTAATTAACTATAATTAAACAAACATTCAAATTCAAGAAATAATATGTCAAAAGAACTCTCAAATTCTGCGACCTGTGAGAAAGTGAAAAGTTAAAACTATGTATTTTCAGGTGCATTGCCAGTAGATTTTGTGAAATCAAACAAGAAACCGGAAGAATTTTGCAAATTGTTGATCAATACCGTGAATAGATACAATGCATTCCAAATACTTTGTTTCCAAAGGTAACTTTTTAAATTCAAGCTTCATTAATACTCAACATTCTGAAATCCATTGCTTGACCTGTGGCAATATACATGAAAAGTGTTGAAAAAAAGCTTTTCCTACAATTGAAAGTTTCAGAGTACAGAAAACTAGAATCTTCATTAACTCTCTTGTATACATTTTTCGAAAAACATCCAAACCTATCAAAAACTTTATAATTAAATGATGTTACTGCAGATGTCCTAAATGTTCAAAATTTTCAGGAACGTATGTTTTTTTTTTTTTTTTAGTTTATATAAAATAAATATGCATTTCAGAAATGAATACGATCAATATGAAGTTGCAGGCCTAACGTACCAGCCAGATGACAAAATTGAAGTTACCAGATACCCTCCAGGTTGCTAACTCCTTGAAACATTTATAAAGAGAAAAATCATCAATGTTATGAGATCTTTCGTGATCATTTCTCTTATTTTCTCAGAATCATACTATCCATTACAGGTATTCATGGTTTTAGCAACAGTCCGTCATGTGAACCGTTTAAAAAAGTACAACGAGGTATGGAAAAAGTGAGCGATATTATTGAAGAAATAAACAGCGAAGATCTTTCAGAAACAGAAATTATCGAACGCCTTCTACAGTTAGCCACTGATAAATATCAGTAAATTTTCCAATTATATTAGGAAGCAGTGAGATAAAAAAAGATCAAATTAATTTGGAAGATTTGCTGTTTTCTAAGTTACTATCGCTTTAATGATCATACATTAATTAATTAATCTAATGTGTAGAAAATAGTAAGGTTAATAATTACAATAAACAGATATGAAATTAAATGTTAAATATAATTCTACAAGTGGAACAAAGCAACCGTTAAATAAAAAATGGAAGATCTATTCCGAATTTTAGTTACTCTCGCTCCAAAATATCATTCACTCAATTTCTCCATATGCTCCTAATGATTAGTGAGATTGGCCAGTATACATTTTTAAGATCCAAGAATGTTTTGCAGGTGTTATCCTGATGATCAATTAAAGCGTCGTTGTGGCCGATCTAATGAGCTTTGTAAATATCGTGCCGCTATTTTCGTGAGGTATCCCGATGGGATTCCTTATGGCACTAGGTCTGTTATCAGCTTCATCGTCCAATATAGTACATTTTTCCTTCAAATTTTAGCAAGAATTCTAAGAACATCGATGAACTTCCAGTAGTCTTCTAAAACGCAGTCTTCATACAATCTTACTGCTCTTCTAATTGAAGGTCACATACGATTATTATTGTGGATCGTAACAATCGGGCCACATATTATGAGAAATCGATGGAGACAGGAGCGGGAAAAGCGAGCGAAGCGACTTGGAGTGAGAGGATATTTCATTTTGAACTCATCTGAATTGTATACAGATGCACTTTTTTGAAAGCAATTTGAAAGTATTAGCATGGAATTCTAAGCATTGTTTGTTTGTATACGGTGTTTATTTCTCAATCAGTAAATTCGCTAGACTTCGGCAAAAAGGAAATATTGATTTCTTTGTATTTGTAACTCTTGAATAATCAGGGTAATCCTTTCCGCACATATTAGAGCTTCACTAACACTCAATAGCAAAAAAAAAAAAAATTCAATGAGAACAATTAAAAAAGCATTGCTCTAGTATTACTGAAACGCTTGACAGATTTGAATAAAAGTATGCCTCAACTCGAAATCTTTAAGAGAGTGCTTATAATGCTGTTATTAGTAAATATATTAACCAAATGATGACATTTGAAACTTTATTATATTCTGGTGTATATTCTAACAATAAATAAAAACATTCATCTTACGAGATGCTGCCATTCAGATAGCTATGCTGCCATCAGAAAAGACTGAGATCTTAATGATTCAGAAACAAAATTTCAATTGATCTTACAAATTTTTCTTCTGTTCTAGCAGAGTAAAGAAACTTTTATGAAAATAACTTGAAATGTTTCAGACAAATACCATTATTTATGCTGCGATAAAATTTTCAATTCCGAAACAGCGCAAAATTTGAAATTATTTTGAGCACAGACAATTGTTTTTACATAAATTTTCAAAAATCGATGTAAGATCTCAACTTTCCAATATACTTTAAATTGAGCAAAGTTGGTCCTAAACTTATAATTTAACAAGACTCATAAAACAACTTCATACATCAAATGTGCAACATAGAATCGAATAAAAAATGCTAGAACCGAAAATAAAACTTGCAATATTAGAAGTATTTCCGTCAATTTTTTCTCATGCACTGGACCCGTGAATTTTAAAACCAAATTTAGTAGCGTTAGATTGTTGATAACTGCCCATCTGAAGTAAAAAACATTGAAAACAAACTAAAGCAAACTTATCAACAGCTTTTCCATCCCCTCCTCCTCGTTCAAATAAAAGAAATACTTCAAAATCTCTTAACCATCATTCATACCTCACGTCTCAAAAATATTCGCGCTGCATAAATTACTCGCTTTAAAACAGTTAAAGATGGGATATCTAGAAAATAAAAACTTGGTAGATTTCATTTATAAAAGCAACCTTCATATCAGAAAATAAAGCATGAAAACCGCTACCTCACATTATTCTTTTCAATAATTTTCTTATACAATAAGCCAAATATATTCAGAAAATCAAGGACCATCTTGGTTAACGGTTTCAAGTCTGAAATGAAGAGTTATATAACTAATTACGAAACTTAAATGCAGTGGTTTGATACGGTTTTCTGTAAATGGATTTTTGTATTGCTGATTAACACATTCACGAATAATGAAAAGTACTGAAAGAAGAGTAATTTGTCTCCTTAACCTTAACGTAGTAAAAAAAAGAAAAAGAAAAAAGAACTGCGCAACATATACAAAGTACAACGAGCAGAGGAAAAGAAAGTAATTTAAGATAACTGGAAATATGACCGTTTTCTTTGAATTCAACAGTACTCATATCAACAGTGTTAGTTTTACTGTTATACTTCGGCAATCGATGACGCGGACAAGGGACAAGATGAAAAAGTTGAGGAATTGAATACATAAAATTGAAAATCTGGAAATTATCAAATCTTTACTCTCAAAGATATGGCATAAATCAAAACGTATTCTTCCCCTCTTTTTATTTGAAATACTGATTTGTTGTCATAAAATACTAAATTACAATATAACTAGTGCACATCTGAGAATGACAGGTTTTTTTATAAGATCAAACATTCTGTGGTGATTCATTAGTTCAGCAGAAATAATTTTGCCGAGAAACACTAATTAATTTAATCAAGCAAAAATTAAAATAAATGAAAAACTAAAGTGGAAAAAATTTGCTGCAAGAAAGACAGAAACTTGCTTGTGGGATCAAAAACAGCGCCATAGTTTTGCTAAAATGACCAAGAATACAAGCTGAAGCCAAAGTCATCCCGGCCCAATAACAAAACGTATCACCGACAAAAACTCGTGCTGGATACCTAAATATACCGATTACTTAAATTTTGAGCAATGAAACAAAATATAAAACTTTCAAGAATGATAATTTAACATGAAAAACAAGCCGTAAAATAAAAAATTAATACTTCAAAGAAACAACTAATTAAACATAATTACCAGTTGAAATATAAGAGAACAGATGTTGTTCCTAAAAAAGGCAGTAAGAAATATAGGGAAAGTGAATGACACCACGAAACCGATGGATCCAGTCGAAACAACTGCAAAAAAGCTGATGAAATTCATTTGGAATTAATTTCTAATTCAACTTCAAAATTATTTCCTAAAATTTGAAAAAAGAAACCATTCTATTTGTTCACCAATTTCTGGAACAGAATTGATGATTAAGAAAGAATAAGATCATGTTCTTTGTTAATGACCAAAAATAAATAAAGATACAATTAAATTCATCAGCTTTTTAAAACTCCAAGTAAAACTTTCCATTCGAATCTCTGAAACTTAAAAGAAGTGTTTGTAAAACTTCGACTTTCGATTTCAAACGTAAGACTCCGCCTTTCCTCTTCCTCCAGTTTTACGCAATGTCTAGTGGAATCATCAACAATCGTTATCAAAATCGTGGACTTTAAAATAGAAACTTACTTCAACGGCATTAAAAATAACAACGGAAGATGCTATTATAAAAGCTTGTCCAGCTTCAAGTCCATTAATTCCAGCCAAAATATTGATAGCGTTTGTGCAAAATACTATCTACAAAGGATAAAAGATAATAATGTGACAGTTTCGTTTACTTTTTTTTGACAGAAAAACTAATGCAATGAACAATTAATACTTCTCAAAATTTTTTGCGCGATTGAAGACTTACCATCATACCCATATAAACGTAGTAAAAAATTCCTATGTTGATGCATTCTTGCACTGGGAATAAAGCCTGAATCAAAGAAGGTAATACGATCGTAGCTGATGACCCTAAAACGGATACATAATCTCTAAGATACAGTCAAATAAGTAAGCAAAACTACCTTTCAAATTAACAATAGAACCTCAGATGATAGAAAAAACCTTTCCCATAGCTCATCTAATTTACCTACAGTTCTACATAAATGACGAAGAAACAATTTACCAGATACATAATAGACAAGGAGCAATGGAAGCGATGAAAGTGTCGGAAATAAAAGTTTGTGTCGCCATCGTAAATCCAGGACATCATCGGCAAAACCCAGTAGAACTGCGGAACAAATAGCTGTCAATGCTGACAAGAACATTAAAAATTTTTGATGTGGAATGGATGACCTATAAATGCAAAGATTGAAAAATGTTATGTGAGAGGTTTAATAGTATGGATGCTATGATAATCCATAAAAGTTAGGAATAAAACTTACTCGAACTTCGACCACTCATAAACTGGAAATGGAATAAACAAAAACATAACAATTAAATAAACAGCTGCTGATATCACTCCAATCGGTTCAGGAATAGGAATATTATCTATCTAAAAATGCATATATCGTACAAAATCAGCTCTGTAAAACATAGTAGATTTCAGAAGTGCATAAAACAATATTTTGCAAGCTTAAAAGGTAAGAAAGATTGAAAAATAATCCGAACTATGTTTTCCAATGAAAAGAGCTTTGGTTTAGCTTCCTACCCTATACCAAAACAATCCGATTTATCTGATTAAAAAATTGAAGGTATCCTGCTATCAACCAATCAAACAGTTCTCTTACAGAAAGCTAACTTATATGTTTAGAATTTACAAATTACAAAATACCCAACCCACTTTGGTAGTCTATTCTAAATTGGGATACAGGGAAAATGATCTTCTATAACAGTACACTTATAATACATTAAATACATACTTTGCACTGATCTTTCCCGTACATTTGACGCTTGATAAAGATTGGAATATATTCCAGAATTATGCGGTATGAAATATATGCGCCCACACAACTCAGCAGTATATTTACCCATAATGATAACATCACCTGAAATAGTGGTAACACCGAGAGTGAATGCCCCAGGTGTTATACTGATGAGACCATAACACCTGCAAAAATGTCCTTCCAGTCCTAATTATTTTTTAACAAGGAGAAGTTTCCTAACAAGAATAATACCACTTGAACATCCACTGCAAAACAGTAAGAGATACGGAACTGAAATTTCAATCTAAACAATCCTTACCCACATTTCCAAACATATTTTCGCACTCATTTCTCATTTTCTTCCTACTGAATAACTGTTTTCCTTTACGCCAACTGAATAACTATTTCTTTTTATATAGTAACACAGAACAGATTTCGTAGCATAAATGATTACTTTTAAGTTATGGTTATGATCGTAAAATTTCGCTCTCCCTCTAACACAGCAAATATCACTTTCTTAATGAATAAGTCTAATTTGTATTAGCATGTCACCTCACATGAAATAAACAATAATTGCAAACAAAACATAACAGCATGTGGTAATCTCTTTAATATTATGTGATAAGATGATAGTCTCTTAATATTATGTTGACAATGGCAAGATTCCGTTTGCCCTACTTTACATGCACAGATGGTCGAACAAGATACTTGTATTGCTAACCAGCATCGCACTCCGGAAAAAGAGACAGAACATAGGTCCTAGCCTCGCTGTTTCATTTCTCCAGAAAAAATTGTGATTCAAAACCTTCTATACCATCATGTTCCATCACGAAAAGAGATTCCCATTTTCCTTATGTCGCTGGCAGAGTCGCATATTTTGATATAAGCAACTTTGACATATTGGTCGGATTGAATTGTTTTCCTGTTTATTGTGCTTAGGGGTAGTTGTGGTGTGTCGTTGTGGTTTGGGGTCATATAGATACCGTGTGGTGTTACACCAGTATTTCCGTGCAACTTTTTTCTGTTATGAATTTGAGTGGATACAGGAGGTAGATATATTATTTCTTCCTTCGAGAGATGCGTAATTCCAAGCAAGTCGTAGATAATGGAGAATAATCTCCTGATAAGTCTGAACTGACTGTGAAGGTCTCCAGAGACGTATGAGTGATATCACTGCTAAAGTTACCATAAGAGTGGTAGTATTTTAGGAGACTAATTCACCTATCAATAACTGTACAATTTTGGGGTACTGTACAATTTTAAATGGAATAATTGACCATACCAGTTGCCTACCATTGATGAAGATACCAATCAGAGGCTTCCATGCATCACAGCGTGTCGCAATGAAATGAGCTTTAACTCATTAAACAGTACAGTTCCTTGAAAACGTACTTGGAAAACACGCAATATAAGGGCTAGTTCTGAGGTCTTCTGCGATTATCATCCCTGTGCAAAACGAAAAATAGATTACGTAAAACAACCGCTAGCATTCTTGCTAGTTACAAGAAATAGTTAAATGTAGGGAATTGTAATGAATCACATCATTGATTCTTTGCTGCATGTTATTTGCAGGTTAATTTGTTGTTGTATTTTGGATATGAGACAGAGTTATTACTGGAGAAGAGATAACAGTAATGACAAATATCGTTACAACCGAAAGCGGTGAAAAATTCACTCTGTTTTTCACTATCCGTAGTCCATTTTCCAATTTTCATCCCTGTCGTTTCGCAATATTTGAAGATGTTGGCAGTGGAAAACCGGAAGAAAGATGGTACTATTCCACTGAACAGTACTACATGTTAGTATTTTATCTCCTTTAAAATAAACAAATTTTTTATATGAAATGATATGGTTCTCACTTTCGATTTTTACTGTATTTAGTTGAATTCATTAAAAACTTGATTTTTGAAAAATGACTTGTACATATGTGTTATATGGAATAAAATGGTTTGGTCGTTCGTGTTATGAATTCGTTCGAAGAACCATTAAATTTCTGCTGCAAAGATGTAAACATCGATTGATTAAGCACTGTAAAACCGAATGTCTTGGCGATTCATTTCCATATATTTCTTCCTGTGTCCATGTCTGGATGAACCTAGTTCATATAACGGGAAGAACTTAATTCTGCTTCAAAAAATAAAATAAAATAAGGAATACCTGGTCAAAAGATCCTTATAATTTGAAGACGTATGAAACGAAAATAGATTAAATGTTGTTTTTCAGGTATCATAAAGCGCTTTCTGCTGGAGATAGTGAAACAGCGGAGCAAATAGCGAATGAACGGGATGCACGAAAAATCAAAATGTTTTCACGTAATATCCGGAATTTTGAGCGCGAAACGTTCGTTAAATTTTACTCAAAAATGATTTTGATCTTAATACCCAATGTATATTAGCATCACAATTGGTATGAGCTAAACTCGTCAGGATATTTGCATATCGTAATTTAGTTTATGCTTTTAGAATGTCTGTAACAGAAAAGACATTCTAAAACCTGTTGAAAGTGCTTCTATCAAATTCTGTAGGTAGAATGTTCAGTTGTGCAATATATTGTTTGTTCAACGACAATGAAATTCCTTAAAGATATCGTTATTACGAAGATTTGAATTAACTTTAACAATTTCAAACTTTATCTTTTGTTTTTAATTTGTCTTTATTATAAATTAGATGGAACAAAATAAGTAGCGATGTGATGAGAAGAGGAAATTTTGCCAAATATACACAGAATCCATTGTTACGGAAGAAGCTGTTTTACACTTACGGTAGTACGCTAGTAGAATGTTCCCCAACAGATCTTGAATGGGGCATCGGTAAGTTTTTTCTTCTGGGAATGTTGATTTCACTTTTTTTAATCAGAGTTTTTTACTTTTTTTTTTTAATCAGAGTCGGGACGGAAAACATCCTTAAATTGTACTGTTTCGTATTTTAGGTTTGGACATCAATGAACCGGATGCACTGAGTCCATCAAAATGGAGAGGGAAAAATAAACTCGGTCAAATTTTGACCGAAATCCGTGAAGAGCTTTTATTAAAGCCAGAATATGCGCAGGAGGTTTAGATGATTATCTACTCATATAAATTTCCTTTTAATTTTTTCCATGGACAGATTTACTTTTCCGTAGTTGCATTATTAGTATTAAGCAACTGTAAGATCAAATACGATGACGGGATATCTGTTCCTAATTAGTACCAGTTTTATAATTTTCGAGATATTTAGAAATATACATTTCTAGGTGAGTGATATCTTGTCAATGCTGGAGAATTTTGATAGCTTCAGCCGGCAATTTTTTCTTCCTCCAAAACTTCCAGTTCAGCAGTGCAGCTGTCCTTCATCTAGTGAATATGACAGAGACCACGAGAAAAGACGTAGCCTACCCTCTTCTATGGAAATTGGTCAAATATCTGATGGAAATCGTGATAAACGTTACAGTCTACCATCGTATCCATGTGCGGAACGATCCGAAAACATTCCTGATTCTGATTCTGTAAGTTACATATATATTTTTAACTTCAATATTTTGCATCGCTGAACTCTAAAATATGTCAATTTGCAGCAAAATGTTTCTATTATAAAAGTAGAAAACGGCAGTTCCCCAACACATCGAGAAGGATATTCTCGGCCAGCTCGATTAACTAGGAAACGTAGTCACCATCGTATGCCAAGTTATGATCGAGATTTTAGACGGCACAGGTGATTTATAAGTTCATATAGTTCTGTGAACTTGATTGATTTCATTGGATTTTTAATTCGTTACTGGTTATAAATCACTTTTCTTTAACGGTAGCTCTCAATTAACAAAATTAAGTCTTGAGATGTTTCGAGGGGAAAAATAAGAGGAGAAAGTTCCAGCGACGATTCAAGAGATCGCAGAAGGAATGGTTCTCGATCAGGGAAGAGACGAGATGCTTCTAGCAGTAATAGGTCCCGTTGTGGCACGCAGTCTCGCTCTGTTAAGGGTCGTAGTAGTTCTGAAAGCGATCACGAGTCTAGCAGGTTTCTGTATATTATGCTCAACATATTATGCACCGGAAAAAGAATACAGATGAGGAAACTGCTTATCAGTGATTGTAAAAGATACAAATCGGGAATGTGTAAAGCATTATAATGAGAGATTATTGGAAATTTTATGATTTACTTTTCGTTTTCACAAAAGAATTTATGATTTCTAAATTTAATAATTTCTTAGATTTTTGAAGAGACAGCGAAGAATTGGGTTAACTGGTGATAACAATCGCTTGACGTCATTTCGACGTGTAAGTCCAATAAGCATTTTATTTCAATCGTTCATAAGTGGAACTATTGATTTATAAATCAAGTTTGACATCTATTCATTATGGTTATAACTAAGTTGGATATCTATTCATTATAGTTATAACTAAATTTTTTTATAATTGAATTTTATATCATTCATTAGTTAATTGGGTTGTGTTTGTAAAAGTAGTAATGTTAACTTCGAAGTCGTGGTTAATCTTGTTGCTGACGCGCACATTTCAGTTCAGTTTGGATCATCCCTTGACTTAGTTATATATTTAAGCACAATAATTGTGATATAAACTCGTCTAGTAGTGAAGAAAGTTCAAGTTCGCTGGGTGAAATTGATGTCGAAGTGGTAAAAAAAGCATTTGAGGATCCTTTCAAAAGTTTGTTGGAAAGACTTCGAAGTAAGAAATGTGGCATGTGGGAGCAATGTAAGCTTTTAAAAATTCATTTATCGGCATTTCTATGTATGGAAATTATTCAGTTTTCAAAAAGTTATCTAAGGATTGAAACATTACTTAGATTGTATGAATCTAGATTTCTGGGTGCATAAATTTGTTTAAGCTTTTATGCTTTAGTAGCAATCATTAAGTATTTTTTAAATCATTTTCGTTTTTTTGATATTTTCTTTTACAGATGCTGCAGAAAGTAGTCACAATTCTAATGGAGCCATCCCAAGTGATGATTAATTGAAGTCGTTTCGTCAGTTAATATAATTTTGGTAGAGATAATTTCTAGTTTCTTACCCACGTTATCATTTTTGGCGCTCTTTATCATTAATTCTTTATAGTGAGCATGAGTTTGCCGAAATTTAACAATAATTCCAGATTTACTGTTCGATGCAAAAAATGCAGATGTTCATTCATCAAAAATATTTGCTAAAAATTAACGAATTGTTTTTAATTTAAAGTGCATTTAAAATGCTGTTTTCGCCTTCGACTCTTTCAAAAACTTGGATGATTTCTTCCATTACTGAGCTTGAGTAGATTCTAATATAGATAGGACAAAGACCACTTGAAAACCAGAATTCCACCCATTCTAGTCCGTCTAATTTACTAAGATTAGTTTTTCTTTTATTTTTTTAATTCAGTCATGTAGTAGCATAGAATTTTTTTTACTGTACCTTGCTTGTATGCTGCCACACTGCCAGGTCGTTTTCTGTACCTCACCGCAATGCGGTGTTCAGGTCAGTTCTCCCAAAATGTAGTTTATTAAACAGGATATTACTTTTTTTTGTCCAAATTGCTGTTAAATTCTGGAAAAAATTTTGTATAATTATTGTTGAATTTGAAGAGAAAGTTTTTTTTTTTTTTTCTTTTTCTTTTTTTATGTAATTTGCTAGTTATAAAAATGTTTATTTGTGCTGCTATAATTGTTTTACGATATGTTTTAGCACAAAAAAGTTTGTCAAGCACTGTGCCTGTTGTAAATCTTTTTAGTTTTACAGTCCATTTTGATGTTCACCTTTTAACAGCTTTCACACCTTTTATTTTGTAAGTTATATATATATATATATTTCACGCCGGTGATTCATAAATTTTTTCTTACATTCTAGAGGGTTTAACTATTTTCTTCTATACATCTCACTGATCCATTTTATAATAGATTCTTAATGTGTTGTTTTTCTCTAGTTATCATCATTATAGCATAATAATTAGATAAGGTATTGGTTGATGACTATGGTAATAATAACTAATAATTGATGATGATCTCACGATGTCCTCCCTCCTCAGGCAATTGTTTTTATTTTCTAAAATCATTTCATACGAATATCCGTACTTTTTGTCATTTTTCATTTTTTTAAACAGTGTATCTCTTTATTTTATAGTTGCAGCACATGTATATACTGAATAAAAATATGATGAAGGGGTCTTCTTTCTCTTGATATCAGATTTTTTATTTATTTCAAATGATATGCTTGTGAGTCGGTTCTTCAATTGGATTATCAGGAAAACGGCATCTTCGACCTTGGCTAAAATGTTCTAAATTCAGTTGAAGGTGAGTGGTTGTATATGATATGGTGTCTTCTGTTTGAAGCATCCTATTAAAAAAACACAAGTATGTATCATTTATACAATTTGTGTGCAGTTCTGTGCTGAGAATACTGCGGGAAATGGTTATAAGGAAATAGTTGAAAAACCGATATTTCGGATGGTTTGATTCCTCATCCGGTAATAGGCGGCAGTATTGTACATACTTATCACAAACCTATCGATATATGCGAACGTGTTGGCGTAATGTTGGACTAGGTGTTCGAGCTTCTTGAATGGCAGGATATTTTTATTACCACATTTTACAAACAGCCTTCGTTTCCCGTCTACGAAACCTTCTTGTATCGGCAGATGCCTTAGTTATATATCATTCTCAAGTATGTAAATACTACATTTGCTTCAGCAATATCCTTAAATTTGCAAAACTTTTTGTTTACAAATCTACAGTTTGTCTTCAATAATTACAGCAGTGGAATCCAGGAAAAGGAATTGAAATACATTTTTCCGTGTTCATATGCTTTCTTCGGTTATATGATGATATAAAATACCTGTATTCCAAATCGTTGTTTACGAAAACGATGTTTAGAGAAGCGTAATGTTTCAAATTATCTAGATTGCTGACATCTTCTGGTAGCTGAAGTTCTCTATTTTCGTATTTCTGTTTTAAAGCATAAGGAATGAAGTGATATAGTTTAATCTTATGATTTTATGATCGATTTCACAACTTTATTGCTTAAATATTGAATTTACTAGAATTATCCAAAAATAATTTGATTATCTAATAGGTAAATAATAGAGTTATGGTTTCACTTCGTGATATAAACCAAAATTTTGGGGAATCTCTGTTAGTGGAATGGAAGCTGATCTAGATCTTTGTCCAAGATAGAAGCTGAAAATAGAAATATCGATAAAGAAATCATTGTGAACCAATGGCACACGGCATCAGATTTTATTCAGAAATAACCGAATAATGCATTAATGGAAAGTGAAAGAGATAATTAAAGATAGACAAATAGCTTGACCTGTATAGAACTTTCAGTTTCGAAACATTTTCTGGGCACATCTGCGCAGCATTGTTTTTGTGCAGTGGTTTTTGTTGGAAAAGCGATTCATTATTTGATGTTTTCTAATGAATATTTACAGAATAAGGCTTGGATGGTAATAGTTTATATGAAGTATTAATGCTTGGATGGTAATAGTTTATATGAAGTTTGATTGTAAAATGAATTGCAGTTAAAGAAGATAAAAGTAAAAATGAACGATTACGATTGACTTTGTCAGTAAATCACCACATTTTATAGAAATGTTGTCATACTGATTATTCATGTGTCCACTGTGCCGATCATTGGGTTGACTAAATTCATCATTGATTTGATTGTGTAGATCACTTTGATGAAATTTTAGTCAAAGATTTACTTTTTTGTAGTTATTTGTATTCTTAATGATAAAAGTTTAGTATGAAAAGGTGATGGAAATTGAGAATATTTCATTTTCTTTTGTATCTTACTGTAGGCAATTACATATTTAAAAATTAAACAGAAATTTGCTAGAATCAATTTGTATATTATTTAATGTGAGCAGAATGTTTCTTACCTACTAACTGCATAGCTTTTTTTTGACTTCAAAGTAGTTGAACTTGATGTATTTTTCATCTCCAACATCAATATTTAGGACGGGTAAAATGAAAATTTCTCTCAAAAAAAAATTGTGATCTGTAGCCTTAGACGGAAATTTTTTCTTTGTCATTAACTTTTAAAGATTAATATCTCATTAGTTTCTGTAAACAGATTTTTTTTTTGCAATTAAATTTAATACCAGATTAGGGGCTTGGCCAACCCAATCAAGTAGTTCAGATATCGGCCATAATGAAGAAATTTTCTTCTTGTCGAATTTCTGAAAATTGCATTGATAATGGAAGATTTCAGACTTGTTTGTAGATATCCACTAAGACCTCTTACGAAAAGAGAACGATGTCAAGACATCAATCGGTCTTCGACAGAAATAAATATGATAACAATGATAATCAATAATTAATTATATAAATTCATTTTGCTCGATAGTTCCAAGATAATAAATAGCACTTCAAAAAGAATATTGTTCTTTTTGGTTCCGATTTGTCCGTGTCTTCCGGTTTGCTTAGTTACAGAGTAGTCGTCTAAGAACACTATCAATATGCTACTATTCACTCTCAACTAAAGCAATTTGATACGACAAAAATTATATATGTTAGAGGCAATTCTTACTCGACTGTAGTTTTCTTTGCATTTACGGCCATGCTTACAACAAATGACTGATTCATTTGCAAAAAAAGCTGTAAAAGATCAAATTGACAAGATTTTCCCATTTACTAAATTCAAAATTAATGAAAAGAAAGATTGCTTGTAAAAATACAAGACAGAAAAGTAAAAGGTATCATTCACCAGGCTCTGCAGACGGCTGATATTCATCTAAATTAGTTCTGCTATCATAAAGCGGTCTCTGGCCTATTTCGCTTGGTGATACTGTCACTTTACGTTGCTTGCGCCATTCAATCATTATATGCTCTTTCGTCATTTTATCTTAAAAAAAAGAGAAATTTAATGAACAAATTGAAGAAAAAACTAATAAATCTAACAGTCTCAAAATTAACTAAAAAAAGAAAATATGAAAGTGCAACTTATATTTTGACAACTTATATATATATATGCATAAAAAACAATTTTCACTCATATAAATTCACCTCTTTAGACGACTCTTTAGAGCGACTACCCTCAAAATCAAAAAAATGAATCAATGGTGTCATCTCTTCCAGTAATGATTCTTTTATACGTCATAATTTTCAATTTCTAAATGGTAAGCGAGATTTTTTGGAACTTTTTTCTGAAGTAATCAACTTAAGCGCAGTAAAAATACATTTTCATAAAAAGTGAATTAATGAAATATGCGAGTGAAACATGGATAAAAAAGGAATGATGCTAATGAAAGGTAACAATATACTTTAAACGATGTAATAGAGGATGTTAGCAAATTGTTTTCTTTTTCGAGTAGCTATCTTACTTATATCAAATTACTGATAAAAAAGAAGCTTGAAGAAATATTTGAGAGATACATTAAAAGATTGATTTACATTCTGCGGGAGATCTAATCGTTTATAATGTTGGATTATTCTAACTGCTGTATTCCTTTTTAAAGTTATGAAGGAATTTTCCTTATATATGCTATAAAACCATTGAATTTTAATTGCAATGCACCGGAAAACAAAAAAAATATTTTGAGCAAACTTTTCAAAATGAGGTCCATTATAAACTTTATCAATCTAGTCCATAAAAAATGGTATTAGGTTATTTGAATCAACCAATTACGACTTATATTTAATTAATTTAAGAATTGTAAGATGATGTAAAATCAAGGTTGTTTTTGGCAGCATTTAATCGAAGAAAGTTATGTGGAATCAGAAATGTTATAATGGTGCTAAAATATGCAGAAATTAATTGCAAATTACTATTTTTATAGATATTGCCTTTCAGTATTTTCAAAGTGTCGAAAAATGCAGAAAGCATCCATAAATTATTCAAATTCTTATCCAATTTTTTAATTTAAAATGGATTTGATGAATGGCTCAGGTGACAAAAATTACGAAAGACCAATAAAAATCTTCTTCATAAGTGCAAAAAGTAAATCGGCAAGTTCATACACTTTTAATAATGTACGATAGACAAACATTTTCATATACTTTGTACAAGTATGCAAAGTTATTTTAAAGTAAAAGAATATGTTATATTGATTACAGAAATGAAAAGAGAAAGTTGAATTCTGGACTAAAATGTAAAATTTAATTAAATTCAAATGATTATGAATTACTTTCTCTTTTCAAAGGATAAACTGGTATTGGTGGATTAAAGGGACTGGAACGCAGTGAAAATTTTTTCAGTTCATCAAGTTTCGCAGTAATTTTCTCTTGTTCTGTTGAATTCCTTTTTGATGGAATCGAGAAATTCCTCTTTACTGAGCCAATTTTCTGTTCAGCAACAAGAAAAACTGGAGGGACTAGAGAAGAATTTCGAGTACTGTTCACCAATCCTGCAGATTTCTTATCGAAATGCTGATTGCTGTTTCGCACTGGTACAGTGTGGTCCGTTTCTTCTTCTCCTGGCATTATGGCATTGTTGCTCGTTATCAAATTATCGCATGGTTTGTCTTGCCATCTTGAAAGAGTGGAATCTGCGGATATAGCAGCAGCTGCTTCATTGGTTCCAAAAGGAGCGGAACTTTCTCTTACAGTAGGTGAAGATTTTCTTGGTAGGGAAAGCTGAAAATAGTTTCTACAAAAATAACCTAAAATTTGAATTTTGTTACTTAATGTTAAAATGCCATCTTCCGAAAATAAGCTCACGACACCGATAAATTCAATACATCAGCTGTTAAAAATTTCTGACTATCAGTTGATGTTTAAGGAGATTCAAAATATTTGAAGCCCATTAATTAAGTAGAAATACAAACCTTTCTGAGCACTTCTTCTGTACTTAACTCTATTTCCGGAACTGCTTGTTCCAGAGAGATCTTCTTTGATACTGTTTTCTTTGATTTTGCTTTTCCAAATGTTTCGTCCACATTAGTATCAATCATTTTTGTTTTTGTGGACGCTCTTTTAATCCCTGTCTTTTTTGATGTTGTGATTTTCACTGGATCAACTCTAGAGAAAGATTCGATTGGTTCAGTTGTTTTTCCGAGTGATTTGTTGTTTTTTTCAGTTAAAGGTGCCTTCGATAAATTGCTAGTGGCATTAATTGAATCGTTTCCAGAATTTCCAACAATACGAGGTGGTTGTTTTTTTGCGAGTGGTGCTTGCAATGTACTTTCCAAAATGGCAGGTTTCATCGGCTGAAGTTTTCCAGATTGCATTTCTGGCTTAACGACCAATTTATTAACTTCTTCAGTTCTCTTTTTCGCTTCTGCTTCTTCAGCTGCTTGACGCCTCAGTATTCTTCCTTTAATAATATTTCAGTTTCATAAAGATCAACATGATGTAATAATTACACTTAACACTATTTATTCCCAGAAATAACTTTTTTCCATTTACTCGGTTTCATTTTATCTGTCGACTAGTTCTAGATTTCCGACAATAATATGACAATAATAAAAGGTAAGATTTATGCTCAAGAAAGTGAAATGTCAATATTGCAAAGAGATTCATCCTGTCGTTCTCAGAGCAAAACATATGTAACTGATAGATTCATTGATTTTTAAGTATTCAAACATTCCTGAGTAGATCACCATGAGAAAAAGTTGAACAAGGAAGAAATAGGGAAGAAATAGAGGAGATGTATTAGCGATCCCTAAAAGCCCTGACATTGATATTCTGCATTACAATCAATTCATATAGTTTTCTAATTATTTTTCATCTTACCAAAACATTTTTTATAACTGCTAGTAAAAAAGATTACTTATTTCTTGATTTCTAATTAATGCGTTTTCGATTTTATGTCGACCTTCTGGCAATCGAAGATTAATTGATACTTTTGTCAAGCCTCTATTTTGAAATACCGCATCGATGATCTCCTTTTCAGCTGTGGTAGCAAATGTAACACCCTGAACAACAAACATCTAAAGAAGCAAGAAATCGAAGATTCCGAAATTAATGAACGGCTCTGTTAGCATAAAGACTGATAATCTGCCTAATAAATAAGGAGATGGAAAGAAGTTCAGAATATGACTGCTGATTATACATGTCTAAATAATTAGATAGTTCCGCAGTACTTCTCAGATCAATATATAAATGCTTTTCATATTTTCAGATTTATCCATTTACAGCTATTAAAGCAGTTGATAGATCAAAATTTAGGTCAAAATAACTTTCAAAACAATTTGGTTGGACTTCATAAAGAAATCATATATGTTGAATATTTTTTTCAGAAAAAATCTTTTCAAAAATTATTAGTGAATGAAAAATGAACCTGGTTAACAGCTTTTACTTCTTCAAGTGTCTGATTTACTAAAGCTGCTTTAAATAAACGCGCAAAAAAATCACCACTAAGATAATTTGTTTCCAAATTGATAGATTTTAGTGTAGTATTGCTTGCTACCACATCAAATATAGGCTGTAATGCATATAATTGCTCTTAATTTGCATACTTCTCAAAGTGACTTTTTCCAATTCTGATTTTATGATTTATCAAACAAAGATCAAAGCTTGGAAAAAGTGCCAAGTCAAGTCGAGAGTTATTCTATTTCACTCAATCTGATTGAGTGAAATAGAATAACTCTCGAAAGGATTTTAGACACTCTTTAAATCTTGAAATAAGTTATAAATTCAAAAGCCTTAAAATTTTAAACCTGCCTCACAATCGTTATCATACAAACCCATATTGGCGAGTGCTATTTTCTCCAGATGTGTATTATTTTTTATTGCAGATAAAAGTCGTTTCAGCTGTGGAATGGGTGTGCGCTGTAACATAATTGTCGGCTTACTAATTTTTAGATCATCATAAAATTAGTTTTAGACATTAAGAATTTAATTTGCTTGTTGATCGTAAAAAATGTTTTAAGCAAAAAAAAAAGTATGTTGAAGACTTTAAGAGCAAATTATAAAAAAGCTTTGCGTCATTTGATTCAATTATGCCACACAAATTCTTCGAACTCTCTGAACTATAAAACTAGTAATTTAGAAAATTTATAAATAAATTAACGCAAAACCTCACTTTCATGTTGTTTAAATTAACTTGTTTCAGTTTTGGGTCATCCATTTGTAACTGCTGTATTGACCAGTCCACATCAGTGTCATTATCTGGCTCCATAGGCCTGGTTTGTGGAGGTAATGAAGATTTGACAGGGCCTTTATACGTGTTGCAACCCATAATTTGTTCCGCTTCTTCCCAACTTATTATACGATTATCACTCATCATCTCTGTAAATGAACAAATAATTTTCGGCCAAAAATACACTGTTTAATTTCCCAATTATTCCTACAAAAAAATAAAATTGGCTAAAATAATAAGGAAGATAAGGAAGCAGAGCTATAGCACAAACATAAAAGTGCATGGGACAGTAAAGAAAATTTATTTCCGAAGACTTGAATTAAACCAATTCCGAATTCAGTTTTCGATCAATTGCTCATATTCATTTAATCTATCAAAAAAATCAGGTGGGAAAATTTTTAGTTTAAAGAAAAAAGAAAAAGTCTCTTAGTAAAAATCATTTGTGAAACAAGTCCCTACTCGATAGTTCACTTTACTATATATTAGTGACTTTCGAGAAAGTAAATTATGAGTAACTTTTGAAAACTTAACACTGAATAATTCGATGGCATAAAGTAATTTTCACTTTCATCAAAAATAAACAATTTACTCAATAATTCTTTCACTTCATCGTTCTGTTCTTGCTCTCCAAGGGCTTGAATTGCATCCATTAAATCGGCATCCGTCATCATATCGTTTCGCTGAGACATCGTCATATTTACACTACAAAATTATTTTCTAAGGATATGGAAAATTAAATTGTTCGCAACATTTCCGAGCAATTTCTAGTTTTTAGAATATTTTACAAAAATTGCTATTATGATTTACAGCTGAGACATATCGGGAAACAGTAGATCAATAAAACATCATTGTTGTGGTAAACAACTATTTCCTATGTTACACAACCATGTTTTTGACAAATGTTTGAGGGAATGAATGAATATAAGCACAAATGCGCCTTAGCAACTAGAAAAATTATTTTAAATGTTATTATATTAGCAAAATTATTGTTAAGGTAAGGACTGTTATTTGGTACAATAGATCTCCAAAAACTAATTAATGTAACATCTAAACGAGATGAGCTTTGGTAGATCTAAACAAGTCAAAAGTCCAAAAAATATTCTCATGAAAGTCGGTTCAGCTTGCGATCCTCGTGAAAATTTCAGGTACTTATTTTTTGTTTCGTTATTGATGTTGCAGATTCAGATAATTATCAAGAAAATGCTTCCATAATTTTCATATAAACGTAGAGCCATCTCTATCAAAAATCAAAACTTTATAAAAACTCTTGCAAATAACAAATAATTCATCGATTCCTATATGTTTTTATCAGTTAAAATATTTGTAATGAAAAATGATGCAAGAATTGACCTGACTAATCAACAGAAATGTTTTCAATAAAAAACACAAAAAAGATACTCAATGTAGAGAAGTGGAATACAGCTTTTTATTCAACTTCAAACACTGCTACCTATCATGCTCCTATCAGCTATCTATTACCTAATGAATATTTTAGCTAATTTTTAATGTTATGTCGGCAAATTGGATGATCCTTAAGAACGATCCTTACTTAGGAGAAGTTTCTTAATTGTACTGCTCAACGGTATACAACATAGTTCAATGAATAAGCAGTGAAATATGTATCGATGGATGTTAGGGACAGTGTTTGTCTATCTGACTAAAATCAATATCTGAACCAGAAAGTTTAAATAGAATAATATGAAAGCTAAAAAGCTAGAGGTGGAAGAAGCAGATTGGACAAAAGGATAAGGTTCATTTTGAACACTTTGTTTTCTAGAAAATGAATAAACTCTAGTGGGCATGACGTGTCGTGCAAATGCATTTCTTCAAAAAATATATCTGAAGTTAATGCCAGGAACTTATGGCATAAAATCATCTTATTAAACTTTTATTCCACATGTACAATTTTGCATGTATTGCATACAAATCTGAACGGTTTAAGATAATATAATTTACAAACAGCTACTTTGTTTACTAGATATCTTTCATTTGCATATCATTAGTCCAAGAGAGAATAATAATGATAAAATCTTCATTTCGATAGATTACTCTGGCAGAATAAGTTTTTGCCTTGCTGTCAACCTGTCTTTCTTCTCATTTTAAAGGCAAGTAATTAAGGTGACTTCGAAATGCAAATGCTGCTTGTTGTCCAAATCTTGAGTGAAAGAATCGATATATTTCTGATATTCATCTAATCTTTTTTATTGAAAAAGATTAGGTAATTCTAAGTTTGAAAATAAAGCCTTAACAAAGATATCATAGAAACAGGCATGGTATTTATTTTATCTCTAATAATAAATTATCGATCAGTTGTGTTTTTACAGAGATTAATAGTTGAGATATAACGGGACGAAAGATAGAAGGTTAAACACTTGCAAAAAGTGCACAAAACTAGGCCGGGATAAGGGAAATGTCTTTAAACAGAATAAGTTTGACAACTGTTGTCAAATAAACTTGACAAAAGAATTAAGTAATTGACCGTAAGTACTGATTATTATATGCTGGAGTGACAAATAAAGTGCATCTCCCTACAGGATACAATGTTTCCTCATCTCAAAAGTTCCGACATTTCTTACTGCTAATGCTAATTTATCAGGGATCACAACTTTCTACGTTCATTTTCCTATTGATCCTTCTTGTTATCTTCTATTCCATATCGGTGAGATTAATCACTTAAAAAATCTTAATCAGTTTATCAATCTGTCAACTGCAATAAGCACAGACTAAATGATCAAACATGCATAATTGGCAAAACATAATTTAGTTTGGAAAATTATCAAATATTGAAGATTAGCATTCAAACAACGCTATAAAAGGCACTTCTCGTAGCGACGACCTTTTCCGCCCTATCTTTCTTTTCTCTCGTCTTGAAGACTCTTGCTTTGTTTTAAATTATTTAGTTATTAATGCAGTTATAGGACAGACACTGTAGTAGAACAGCCAGAGTAGCTCACTTGATCACTTCATAGGCCTGTATTGTCAAAGAACAGCTCGATCGCAATAAAATAATTCAAATGTTGAAAATGACCATGCTATCTTCGAATATCTGAAAAGCCAATGGCCAATTCATTCGTTGAGTTTTGGATAGACTGTTAGAGGAAATCGCGGTATTTGTTATCATAAGCCTTCTTACCCTATTGTACATAAGCAAACTTCACTGTAAAAGATTCAAAGTAAGAACTTAGTCATAAATTAACCAGCAGTGAACGTATTCCAACAAAACAAACAAATGAGTTTGAGTGAAGCACATGTGACGATAATACTTCTTCAATTTATATACAATCACTGGATTTAAATCCGGTTGAAATACAAATGTATATTATACAAAATTTGTGTATAGTAGTTTAAATTATGTACCGTTGACAGTAGTATGAAATAAAATGAAGACTGGGTTTCAACGAAAGACGAAAAGTTGGAGCGCTCTGCTGAATTGGAGTCGCTTTTCTGAATAGATGATTGCTTACTCTACTTACTACTTCCTCCACAATTCATTTTATTAATTTCGGATTTTCGGGAAAGTTTGAAAGAAGTACAAAGATATACATATATATATGAACAATGGTTTTCTTCGACTTCTGCTCGCAGATAATGAATTGCTGCCCCGAGACAAAGAAGCCATTCGGAAAATTTTTGTTATTTGAAGATTAACTGTTAAATGCATTTAAATCAAACAAAATTAAATGTACAATTAATTAATCAATGGATTGAACAAATTTCTCTCTACACACAAATCTAATTACTGAATTTCAGTTGTTTAATGAAGATGTGTAAATCATCTCTGAACTTTTTATCGCAAGCCAAACCGTGAACTAAGCGGAAAACGAAATCTAATAAATGAAATTAACAATTATTACAAACATCTTCGGTCCTTTTTATCATAGAGGATGAAATATCTGGAAAAGAATTGTAACATTAAACTGTTTTTATCGTCAACACAAATCGAAAATATTCATTAAAGAATACTTCTTACAACAAGATGGACTGGATGCTTTTAAAAGAATTGACTACTCTACATGTAAACATTATTTAAATACGAATTAAGCAAACAAGCGATTTAGTCAGGTAACTTACCTTTATTATCAAATAGTTCATTATGATAATTTGTGTATGTGCAGTACGGAACCAAAGTTGGTACTATATGCAAACTTCTTCTGTTCAGTTTGCTTTGCATCAGTTTAGAAAAACGCTAATGCATTCAAAACACATCGTCGAATACTTTTTATTTGTATTGATGAAGAAGCTTAGCAGGAAAGAAACGAAAGTAGAGGACTGGTAAACAAAAGTAAGAGAATATCACTGAAGAAGCTGGTTTATGATACATGATATGAAAATTTTCAAAAACTTTATGAGTTTATTGAAGAAGAAAATCATTTAGAACAGCATTCTTCAGCTCCGTTAGTGTCAAAAAAAAAAAAAAAAAAAAAAAAAAAAAATGGAAACTGAAATACTGTTTTCTATCAACTGGGAAAAAGTAAAAACGAAAAAATTAAGCAATCAAAATTGAAGTTGCTGGCATAATAGTAAAATTATTGAAAAAGAAAGTGAGACAGACGGCGAGACAAGTTATGGGCAACTGTAAATTTACAAAAAAAAATGAAATTTTTAGAAAAGCTAATGAAATTGAAAGAAGCATGAAGCTGGAGAGAAAATAAACTCAAAAAACAAGGAAAAAAGAGCGAAGGATGCTTTTTAAATGTCCACAAACCATTGGCAAGAAGAGAAGCCATTGCTTCCACATTTAAGTGGTGAAATGAATGAAGGTGAAGGTGATCCAGCTATGCCGTATCGCACAACTCGAACTCCACCTTCTTCGCTGTTTCCCGTTTAGTCTCGCAAATTCACTTTACAACAATTCACCTTAAGTACTCTTGATCTCTCGTTCTGAACACAGTGAATACTATGAAAATCAACAAGAAGTTCAGCACACTAACTTCATTAGTTGATCGTTATTGCTATTTAACTAAAAATCTTTTTTACCTGAACAGCCAGATTTTAAACAACTTATTTCCTTAACACCCTTCCGGACTTGAAAATTTCAGGAAGGATGTCTGGAAGAGAAATTGCTCGCTAACTCTTTTACTCCCCACTCCCATTTGCAAAGCACAAAAATTTTCGTTTACGGTGAAAAAATGAAATCAAATCCAGAAATATATGTGAAACACAGAAATATATGCAGGATATATTGAAGATCTTTTCATCCACTTCTTTTTTTCTCATCATTCTATAATCTTGGAGCTACAGAATTCCTCCTCGATCATACGAACAAAATTTTTTCGCAACTTCCACACCAAAATCAACCAGCAATGTTTGCTTTGCTGTGTGTTATAAATGCAACGGTAAAGTCCGTTGGTAGATTTACATATGTTAAAATTCTTACATTGAAGTAGTACTGCGCAGTAAACATTTCAATCCTATCTATGTACTCATCTCAAACTGCACTCTTTCATATATCACGCAGACCTACTAATGTATGTTTTCAAAAGTCGAAGATAATTGCAGAGTCAATGAAGGTTTGCACTTCAAGATTACAGTAAAATCTAAGTCAACATGGAAGGATGTGATCAACGAATAGATTATTCATTGTAAAATTTCCGCATGGTTATAAACTGGCTCTCAAGAGATTGACGTTCTTCATACTACATCCCTTTGAATGCTTCAACGATGTAATTATTTATTAACAAAAAATTTCCATTATTGAAATTTCCAGGCTGATGAAATTTCCTTGTTATAAACAAGCAATAAAATTTTTCCTGGAAACGAACGTCTAATACTCAAATAATGTAGAAATGGAGAAAAAACATATCAGTATTTTATCAATTTCCTAATAATGGATCAATTTCCTAATAATGGAAAATTTCCTAATAATGGATCAATTTCCTAATAATGGAAAATGCTTTTGCTATCACTAATTCTAGTCACTTCACCACATCACATTTCTCGATAGTAAGTATACAGCGTTACTTACAATGTCAGGATTTTTTCCACTGCATGCAAAAATCACAAGAAAAATACCTGATAATGATAGGCACATTGAATTAAATTTTCTTTGAAAAACTTTTTCTTAGCTACCTTGCACTTTGCCGAATCCGGCTTCCCAATCATAGGGAAATTCTTGCACCTGTAGCACCGATATTGCTTTCCTCATTAGCTAAAAAAAATTTGCAATAAAACTAATCGGATAAAACAGTTTTCCAGCGATTCATTTTTTTTTTTAAATAACTTCAAATTCGATGAAGGTAATCTCTTTTGTCTTCTGGATTACATCTTGTTGTTGAGGTACTTTTAAAATCGTTTTGATAAAAAGAGAAATTCAAAGTTAACGTCCTTCAGCAAACATTCAATATCTAATAAATAAATATATCCTACCTTGTAAATCTTTTCATAATTTGGATTATCGTAAAACCGTAAGCTATCAATGTAATGTAAAATTTCGACATACTCTCGCGGACAACCACCCATAAGCTCCTGTAGACCCATTTCAAAACGACATCGCTCCTGCAACATAAAGCATTAGGCATATTGATAACATTCAGCTGATATTGTAATAAGATAAGAGTGAAGCTAAGCTAACTAGCAAATCTCATGCGATGAGTCTAATTTTAATGTTCAATCACCCCAAAAAACATTAAATAATGAAAGATAAGAAGAGTAGATTCTCTTATGTCTATTTATGTTTTATATCTTATCAATATTATGCATGGGATTACCCTCTCACAAAGAAATCCAATTTTTATCAGAAATTCAATTTCTGAATTTTGGAAAATCTGTGTTTACTTCAAAATTTAGTCACTAGTTTCGATATATATCAACGATGTAACGATGATCAAAGCTTTTTCTCTCCTTATTTTTTAAAACGCACAAATGCTGATGAGTATAATACTTTAAACATTGCTACTTCATCCTTTTTATCGTCTAACGAACGCCACGGAAGTGCACCACGTGTAATTTCAATTTGCTGATAGAGCCACGATTCAATATCATCCTTGCGACATGTTTCACGTCGTATGTGACACGATAACGATGCGTATCGAATCGTACCACGGAATCCAGCTATCTGTATAACTTAATTTTATGCGATTCTCAATGGTCTCAACTGATTAATTTATGAGGATTGGTAGTGTACAGATATGCATTAGACATGCATGCAATGACATTTTCTCAATTTTCTTAAAGACGAATTTATTGCATCTCCAATGGACAATGAATAACTAGCTTTATTCACAATGTTTCTTAGATAAATCATTTAATTGTGCATATCATTATCATTTTAAATCTTAACACTTCACTTCCTCATATTTGCCATTAATCACACTGTAGTGCACCACTAATTGCAGTAACTTGCATGAAAACTTGAAATTCGTGAAAATGATACCAAAAAGTGTCGAAAGTTTTAATCAGTTTAATATAATGAAATAGAGCAGATAAACTAATTAAATATAATGTTTGTCATATCCTAAAGTAAATTGAATTTCCTGCAAATCGAGCGAGAAGGTCACGTTAGGCTTAGGCCTACTGATTTCACAAAATGAACAACAACTATCGTCTTCGACTGTTTTATTTTCTTTTTCTTTTGCAACACATTCACACACTTTAAATTCTAGCAATTGATGGATAGAACAACAAACATAAAAGTCTATTGCGTAAATGGTTCCCGCTATCACTCATATGCTACTTTTTCCTAATTCTGTATAAATCTTTTAAGCATTTTCATTGGAAGATTTAGTAAATGATATGTATGTCAGAAATGCTTTTTTGTCCTATCAGATGTTCTTTTGAGTTGCTGTCACATTTCTAAATATGGTGTAATGTGTCGTGGAGGAAAGGAATGCCAAAATTCGCTTGCATTATCATCAATTTGATTTGCACAGGGGCCATTGCTGGACTATCCACGTGAAGAGTTGATATTGATTCAGAGTGACCTGTTTTTACTGCCCTAAGGAAAGTAAAAGCTCCCGCTCCATGCAGCTCACCATCCTCTCTGGCCTTAAACGTAAGAACGCTTCTTTATACAAACACGATGTCATGTAATGTATTTAGCCTCATCTCATCGCTATCTCTTTTTCTGTTCCCATTCTTTCCATTGGAATATTGTTTAATATTTCTTTTTTTCTTTTCTTCTTCAATTAAAACTTTAGTCATTTTATTGTCGATAAACCCGTAAAAGGAGCAAGCATGCAATTTACTGTTATATTGTGGCTTGCAACTTCTTTCCCATATAATTATTGAGGAAGACTTCGCTTAATAATATTGGTAAAAAAATAATTGTTTGTACTTGCAATACTGACTACTGAAGTCTTTATTTCTTCTATAAATTTGATATTGTATATCTGATAAAGTTAGCTTGGAATCTTGAATTTGGCCGTTACATATCAAAGCTATTTCACAAACCTTTCTCGGAGGTCGAAACCGTCCATGTTCATCTAAATAGCTTCGGCACATCCCAAAGTCCAATATGTAAATCCGTCGTAATTCATCAAGTTTTCCACGACCCGTTGCGTAATTACTTGGTTTAATATCACTGAAATATTAATTATACTATCACTTTGCTCTTATCTGAGTATCTAAGTGATGGAGACTTGAGAAGTCTGATTTTCTTATGTGATAATGATAACTGTAAATAGCAGAAATTTTTGCTCGTTCTAGAATTTCAATTATAAAATATTCGTTTATTAAAAAAAAAAAAATTGAATGAGAAATAGTGCTATGAAAAGGAATATTTGTCATACGATAAGACTAATTTCGGGATTAAACTATTTTCACACTAAGCTTCAAGTTTTTCGAAAATGCAGAGCGAAAGACCGATGCAAAAATCCAATAGCGTGAAGTTCTTCAATTGCTTCCAAACACTGAATTCCAACAGATAGTGCACAACCCATGGAAAATTTTTGCCCGGGTAACTCTTTCCTTATATCCTTCAAATAGGGATGTCGGATAATGAATACGAAGAGGTCGCTGATGAATTAGGAATAGAAAAGGATTTGTTCCCGTAAAGAATATTGTTTGTTATGAGTAATTAATATAAAGGGGTAATCAATTAATTAATGTGAATGAGTTGAGATATAGTTGCCAGTATATTGTCAGTCTAGCAGATTAACTTGTATAGTTTTGAAATGATTGCCAGTGAAAGATCGTAATCAAGTTTTATCAGTATTACTGTTATCTTCGATACCTCGGAGACCGGAAAGCTATCTCTTCTAATTTTATAGACATACCTGTAAACAAGGTCCAAGTAGTGTCATCACCAAATATAAGCATTTTTTATAGATTCCTGTATCTTCGCATGTACAGAAATGTTTGCTTTTTCGTTCATTCGCTAATTTAAGCACATAAACTTCCATTTTTAACAACTATAATCATTTATGTCATCAAGAGAGAGAGAGAAGCCAATATCAAAAATAATGTGCATTGTGAATATTTCACTATTTTTGTAAACATAATCAGAATATGATCCACAGAAATATATATCAGCAGTAAACGTCACCAAAAAACTATTTTATCTTGCTCTAAAGCTAATAAATTTACTTTAACTTTCTCCTTTAAGCTTTCTGTTTTTAGTGCATAAATTTCGTTTCCCCTCGATACCTGCAAAATAAAATTGCTTTAATTTGAGGAATTGTGAAGTAAACAATCATAAGAAAGAATGTCGATGAATTTTCATAGCAACCTTATAGACTGATCCAAAACCGCCCTCGCCAAGTTTTTCAACAACAGTCCATTGATCGATCTTCTCACCTGATTGCAACCTAATAATGTCCGCCATCCGATCGTCTGCATGAAGATGTAGTAAATAATGACGAACTTTGATAGAATGACTTCCTCTTTATTACTTTATTGTGGAGAGAAATATTATCAATAATATGTAAATTTAATTAATTATTTATATGAATTGTTAATTATAGGGTATGTTCTTGGGATGATACAATTTAACTGATACTGTATATTTTGTTCCAACCTCAATACTACTAAATTACATCCTGTATTGAAAAGATTGCAATTTGCGTAGCATGCAACGTGGTTTTCCGCAATAAAAATAACACCAGATGTTGGTTGGTCTGTGTAGGGAAGATGTATGTGTACATGTGACCTTTTGATAGCTATACATTAAGTCGATCTGATCTATTAGAAAGGAAGAATGATCTGTTGATTTATCAATTTGTAATGATAAGGCAGTTCATTGAAATGTACAGTTCTCCTTGAATCGTTGTGTAACGGTATTAACATTTGTTTTTGCTTTTTAAATGATTAGTTATTTGAATATGCTATTTTAAGGCAATTAATTGAAGAAGATTGCTGTAATGACTGTGTACATTTGTCCAGAAACTGGAGATGATGGTAATGATGGTAGCGAATTGAAACCTTTAAGGCAATTTTTTTTTAATTTTTGGTACTTTTATGTAGTTATTCTTAGATTTAAAATTTCAAAGAAGCAATGTTAAGAAGGCTATATTAAATTGTATAAACTTCTGGAGTTTTTGCATTAAATTAAATTTCGATAATTGGACTGCAGGACGCTTTATCAAGCGATGATAATTACTAAGTCTTCAAAAGGTGACTTCTTAATAAGGACTACGAAGGATGGAAAACAAATATGGGAAGTTGCTTCAAAGACGGCACTGAAGAAAAGTTGGAAACGTTACGAGCAAGAAATGTTGAAGAATGAAAAAGTTGCTGCAATGGTGAGATTGCTTTTTTTTTTTTTGAAAATATGAATTGAGTAGTTTGCTTGTTAGAAGAGACGGCGAGACGAGGTGTTACTTTAATTTATTGGCGAAAAATGAATTAAAAATAGGTAGCTTCATCATATAAGAAATATTTAATGAGTAGCATTTAATAAGTTGTTTGTATTTTTTATATGTTAGAGAAGGATGCGACAGAAGTGGGAGTAAAAGCAGCTCTTGAAGAAGCCAAAAAAGTGCAAGTGGAACTGAAAACGAGTCTGTCATGTATCACTGGTCTGAAGATTCGTGATCTCATTAAAGGATTCATAGGATGCGTCGACAAGGTATTTTACAATTATTATTCGTTGATTATCACAACTAGTTGTTCAGTGAAATAGATTATTGTTTGAGATATTTCTTTTTTTTTTGTAAAGATTATATATACATTTATTTATATTCGTCTTTGCATATTTTCCATATGTTTAGGAAAATCATTGATATTTTTCATCCTTCGAGATGGTACTGGTTTCCTTCAAGTACTACTCATGGATAAACTAGTTAGTTATTTTTTACTGCGGAATATGATCCGGATCTTTATGCCGTAGAATTGATAGAAAAATTTTGATAACAACCAGAAAATAATAATGAGCTGATTATATAAATGATACCATTTTCTATAGAACAAAATTTATTAATTAAAATTTTTTTAGTGCCAGACGTATGACGCTCTCACTGTGAATACTGATTGCACGGTTGAGATATACGGTACAATAAAGGAAGTTCCGGAAGGTAAAGAGGCACCGAATGGGCATGAGTTAATAGCTGATTTCTGAAAAATAATAGGAAGCGCACCTCCTGGAGGTATTGTTCAATTATTTCGTTCATTTTATTTTTATTTATTTTGTTCTATGCGCTTATTTTTATTTTTCGTAATTGTAATTCGTATGCCGTAAATTAATTTTTAAAATAGAATAATTGAGATTTCATATGAAGTACTTTAAAGAAAATATTGATAGCTAAATAATATAGTTACAGGTACATATGCTTACGTTGGTGATATTTTGAAAGATTATTTTTTTAGATAATCATAGAACTTTCCAGGAAAAAAAACAGAAATTTCTTGTGAATGTCTGAAAGGACTTAGGGAATGTGTTTATGGGGAAAAGTTGAAGGTTATTATGAGAATCATCGTAAGGCCTGTTTGAATACATATAGCGTACTGTTAGATTTAATCGGGCATAAGGAATATGAAACTTGTCACATTTGATCATGATATATTTTATCATATGCTGATGTGTAGTTAACTTATTTCACCGTACTAATAAGTTAGATTGTTATGCACTAGTAGAAATAGATAAGAAAATTTAAATTTCGGTAGTTTATATTCATTGCAGGCATTGATAATGTGTTAAACGAAGAAGCAAGTGTCGACAAAATGTTGGACAATAGACATTTGGTTATTCGAGGTGAAAATGCTGCCGCTTTGCTACGTTTGAGAGCAGCTGCTACTCGAGCAATGCGAGAACATTTCTATAATGCTGGCTATGTGGAAGTTGCACCACCGACTTTAGTGCAAACGCAGGTTACATTATATTTGATGAAGTGATGTTAGGATAATATATGTGTATCGATGAAATGATTGAAAATTATCTTTTTCTAGGTAGAAGGTGGATCACCGTTATTTAATCTGGACTATTTTGGTGAACAGTCTTTTCTTACGCAATCATCACAGCTCTATTTAGAAACTTGCATTCCCACTCTTGGTGATGTCTTCTGCATTGCTCAGTCTTACAGATTTGTATGTATTATTCCGATTTTTATGCAGGAATGATTTTAAAAAGGTGAAATTTTTAGCGAACATACATTTTTTATGTGTCATCATAATGCTACGGCACTAGTTGGTTTCCAGTAATCATAATTATTATGAAATTTTTTGGCGTTAATGGTTAGCAAAATGTTAGAATGATATTGCCATCTATAATTAAAAGCTTAATAATAATACTTTATTGTAACTGAAATGTAATGATGTATTGTGTTAATGTTGTGGAAGAGAGATGTGATTTATTTTATGAATAGAAAACATTTCTCGTAGTTGATAAATTAGAAAAAACTGCAGACTTTATGTGAATGTTATTCGGTTTTTATCAATATTTTTAATCATTATTATTATTGAGAATGCTTTTTTAAGGGCGGAAAAATCTCGTACTCGTCGACACTTGGCGGAATATGCACATGTTGAAGCCGAATGTCCTTTCATAACGCTGGATGATCTGATGGAGAAAATTGAAGAACTGGTTTGTGACACAGTGGATCGACTTTTAGCTGACGAGGAAGCAAAAAAATTATTGAAGCACATCAATCCAGTTATTTTTTCTCTCGCTTTTGATTTTTTTTTTTTTTTTTTTGGATGATATGCTAAATTTTTAGCTTATATTTTCAGTAGTTCTTGTTTATATGCTTAAAATAGTCAGTTGTAATAGGAAAAAAGTTTAAAACATTCGATGAGTATGAACTTCTGCCTTTTGTTTCGATATTTTCTTACTTCACAAAATTTATTCTTTCTCAAAAATCAATAATCATTTTAAAAAACATATAGTTAATAAAGTTGTTCTTTATTAGAGTTATAATATATACACGAGGAGTTTTCTTTCACTGATACTTTACGTTTTCCTTTATTTATCAATGATAATTGTCTTATATCCTCTTTTTGCAGAAATTTCAACGGCCAAAAAGGCCATTTTTAAGAATGGAATATAAGGATGCTATTAAATGGTTGCAAGAACACAATGTTCAGAATGAATTTGGTAATAGTTTTAGTTATGGGGAAGATATTGCTGAAGCAGCGGAACGTTTCATGACTGATACCATCAACAAGGTAAGTCTTTGCGGGATTATTTTCGGGTAATTTAAATTAGGCGCTGCTGTTTGGAGTTAGAATTTGTATTTTTAAAAAATTGACCTTGGTGCTTGTTTACGTCTAATGTGAAAAATGATTTATTCATTTTTCTTCTTTCATTTCTGACTTATTCATAAATATTTATTCATCATGATTATAGCGAGAATATAACAGAATAGAATTTGATAGTTCTAGAGATTCGAATTAATTAACTTAATAACAGAAATAACTTTTACTTCTCTTTTTATTTGCATTTGTGATTTATATTATAGTCTATTCTACTGAATCGTTTCCCGAGCGAAATTAAGGCATTTTATATGCAGAAGGATGCGCACGATAATACTTTAACAGAATCTGTTGATCTTCTTATGCCTGGCGTTGGCGAAATTGTTGGTGGCAGTATGAGAGTTTGGAAGGTATATTAGTCAAAACTTCACTAATACACATTTCAAAAAAAGGAATTTTCTGGAGTTTTCTTATTCATTTTCTTCGTTTTTTTTTTTTTTTTTTTCTTTTTTTTAACAATTTCTTCGTATATTTTAGTTCGATGAACTATCGAAAGCTTTTAAAAATGTGGAAATTGACCCGAAACCATATTACTGGTACTTGGATCAACGTTTATATGGCACCTGTCCACATGGTGGATATGGACTTGGCTTGGAACGTTTTATTTGTTGGTTAACAAACACCAATCATATTCGCGATGTGTGTTTTTACCCACGCTTTGTTGGTCGATGTGTCCCATAAATATCTTTTTCGTGATTAAATGAAAGGAAAGGAAATGACATCGTTGAATTGTTGAAGTCTGTGCACCGTTTTCTGCTTCTCACACTGATTGTGATGAGCTGTGTTGTTGAAAAATATTTTATATAAATTATATAAGTTATTGCAGAAGTTGATTTTACTGTTATCACTAATTTTTTTCTCTTAACTTTTGCTTTTTATAATTTAATAAACATATTACAGTAACTTGCGCCGATATATGCTTGTATAATTTATCTAGTTCCTTTAGCATATATATATCAAAAATGATAGGGGAAAAACTTAATTATCTGCTTATACTGTTATATGTAGTGCATGAGGATATTTCCTTCACACAACAAGATACAACGATATGATTAGTTATATAGCTCATATTTAGCCTTAAAAAAAGTTATATATAGCCCAACTTAGTGTTCCCATTCTGATGTCATTCTTATAATTAATAATGAGTAAGGTGATCTAACAATTGTTGAGATGTCATTTACACAATTCATCTTAAGTACTCTTGATCTCCCCGAACTAGTTTTTGGATTTCGAAAGGTTTTTATAGATATCCCTCATAGCGGTCACATATTGTAAAATTGCTTCAGGACTATTTTCATAAGAACAGTGTCAGTTTTTCCCATTTTAATAATGCCACCAGTTCCAAATATTCCTCCTGCTTTGACTGGTAGCAAGGAAGGGTATGTTTTTGTAGTTTTTTCAGTTTTTTATTTGAAGTGGTAATCATAAAGATTCTCAAATCCTGACTTCATTCCATTAAATATTGCTAATCAGAAATCCTTTTGTAGCATTACCTTAGGCTTTCTAGTTCATTTGTTTGAAAAGATTTCTTAACATTTCTAAGATGATAATGGTTCCTTTTTCAGGACATTCGCATTTTTAACGGTTCGCGATCGTTGGCCAAAGATATTAGGTAAAATTGTAGACCAAGTGCATCGGTATCGACATGCTCATATTGCTGTTCATGGCGAGGTTGTTTTGTTTCCTTACCATTCATGCCTAATGAATTATTAGCAAGATTACCTGACATATATAACGTTTTTTGATGTTATTTTCTTTTTTGGAAGAGAGAACAGTATCTGCTGGCATATGGTATCCTTAAAAAGTTAATAGATATAACAATTATTCTTTTTATATAATATTTATTTGCAAAGCACTGTTATCGAAGGGAGACATAAAATGTCCATGTTGGAAAATTTTCAGTATTTTGTGCTTGTTGCTGTTATTGTTGTAATTCCACGATATCGACAATAGCTTTATTGGTCTTTTGCAATTTCGTATCGTATCACGCATGTAAAATAATAGAAGAAACCAAGTAAATATGAAATTAAATAATATGAAATAAATATATATGAACCAAGTAAATATGAAATTATAACAACAAGTCACTGAATGTCCGCCAAGTTGTCTTTGTTTTCTCCATCAACGTTTGTTGAAAATGAACTGAGTGAGTGTTAAGACCAACCGAATCAAAGCTTGTAGTACCCAAAAACTGAGCTTAGACAAAGGTTTCAACTCCTTACGTAGCGCACAATGGCTTTTAACAAAGCGCATCATTACCGTGAGCAAATAACTCTCACTGTCACATGTTGTTAACCCTTCATATAGTGCTGGTTGATTTACAACATCACGTCGTTTGCAATATTTTGAATATAATATCTATAATATAATATGAAAGATATAATGTTTATAATGTTTTGACATTACAAATAGATTTGGTTTATAACAACGAAAATAGAATTTACAACTTTTTAAGAATCGATTATAAGTTTGACTTTTGAATTAGAAACCTCAGCAATAAACTTTTAACAGATTGTAATATTCTAGATAAGGCACATAAGCTTAGCTGCTACAATTGAAAAATGAGTGTTAGACTGATGGTTTTACTTAGATATAAAGTTGAAACAGTTTTATGTTTATCTAAGGAATATTTAGATAAGGCAGTTTTTAATCTGCAAATTTTATTTTATGGATTTAATACAAAATTTGTTATGTTTCGATTTAGTAAAAGTATAAGGGTTTATGAGTCTAATTACTCTGATTACATTTTTCGGCTTCGCTCCCATATGTATTCAATATCTTTATATTAATCTCTTTGTGATTTAGTTTATGATAAAACATGAAGTATTTGTGTACTTATGCTTATGAGGGAATCGCGAATAGATTTTTAGAATTTCAGAAACAGGAAACATATGAGTCTAAGTACTTTGACTGGAGGAATAGATGTGATTTCAACTTTTCTAGATTACGTTTTACATTAACAAAGGTTAGATAAATACCTTTACTGTCCGGCAGGTATCAAGTTAAAAGCCAAACGGTGAAAACCAAATCAGTCTTTGATCACTGTAAAGAAAGGGAGGGTATATATTTATATAGTTCTGTTAAAGCAATAAGGAAAGTTGAGTTAGCAGGTATGAAATTATACCTGGAAATCGCGAGAACTATACATTTTGAGAGCAGCTAGAGTTGTCGGTATTCTTTCATACTCATACATATTCTATATTATGTATCACTAAACATATACTGTCAGACTTTTTTATTGTCTGATTTGAATATAATTTTGTTTCAATTATTAGTGAGAGAGTTATGATTCAAAAAATTTCTCTTTATGTCTCACACATTTCACTGCATCAAATTTGATATGCAATTCCTCCTATCTGAATTTTACTACGTTTTCCTTTTTTTTTTTTTAAATGACTATTAAATTTCTGTTATATTATATTCTTATTTCAGGTAGGCGAAAAAGATATTAAATCGGTCCTTAGTCAACTGTCTGAGTTATCTTATCTTGTCTCCACGGACAAACCATTGCAAGATCTTAGTGACCATGGAGAAAACGTTAGTATTTGGAATGAAGAACTGAGAGAATTGCGAATGAAGGTGCTTTTATAAAGTCTGTATAGCTACAAAATATTTTTCACTTAATTATTTTTTTACCCATTAATTGGATCTCTGATTCCAAGAAAGCACGATAAGAATAAAACACCTAATATTATTCTTTTATGAGGTACAGGACTCTTTATAAAATGCTGAACTAAAAATTTGAAAAATTTAGTTTTAGAAAATAATACTTGGTAGGTTGTACTTTACCTTTTACTCATGGAATGAATTAGAGAATAAACTGATTGATATGTCATTTCAGAAAGGTACAGAACAAGTGACTTGGTATCGTTGTGATTGGTTGTTTGCTGAATGTTTTTTATATAGGCAAATAATGAGTTTGTTTTTGAAAACAACAACACTAAAACAATTCGATCCATTCGCATCACAGAAACAAGGCTCTTTTATTGGTTGGTGAGTATTTTGTTTTAGTTTTGTTCGTCATAAACAGTATTCTCGTATTATGCAGTCATACCGTTATAGAGTGATCAAGTTCTAGTCATTTCGTATAAAAAAAAACTGATGCAGTTTTTATAATATATATATATAGTTAATTTTAGCATTGATACGATTAGTATGCTTGCAAAACGTGTGGAAGAAATGGCATCAGAAACAGCAAAAGTCAATTACGACATAATTTCTTATTTTTTCCAGGTATAGTTTTGATATATGCTTCTGGTATTTGGTATCAAAACTAGAAACCTTAAAGTTTAAAATGTCTTTTTACTTTTCAAACTGAATTACTTTTTTTTTCTTCGTGCAGGTGTGTTTATGGGGAAATACATGTGATTTATCGCTTTCATGTGGTGAACGCGTTACGTCGTTGCCTTTTTCGGATATGGTTGACCACCTTGCCGATAAAATCTTATGTAATCAGATTGGTGAAATTGATCGTATTTTAAGGTAATTCATTAGTATGCGAAAGATTTTCACATTAATGATAAATTGGAATCTTTGGAAATTACCTTTTCTTTATCATACTTTTTATTTTTCTTTTGAAAAACGATGAGCTTCAGAAGTGGTAAAGTGGAGCGTGTAGATATAGTTCTTGATAATTCTGGTCTCGAACTTTTCGCTGATTTAGCAGTTGCAGAATTATTAATTGGCAAGTGTGGTGTAAAGAATGTCGTTTTTCACGGAAAGGTTCGTGTTTTCTTAAAGTTTCTAGATTCTGGGTCATTAATTTGTCTCTTGTTCTAACATTTTTTTTTTTTTTTTGCTTTTTTCCATATTTGTTAAAAAATCATGAAATCATAAAACTTATAAACTCTTGGTTTAAAGATATTGTTGACTTTAACCTAAAAAATGAAACTATCCCGCTTAATCATTTAAGCAGCGGAATCACTCTCCAATTGTTTTTATTCATGTTCTCATTATTATTTTGGATCAGATTTAACAAATTTTCACGGTAGTTATATATACATATATATATTTCTGTCTGCAGAGTATGCCATGGTTTGTGTCGGACGTTACTGGTATAGATTTCAACTGGACAGTCGAAATGCTAATTGCTAATTCGGACTATTTGTTGAGAAATTTTGGTGTAAAATGCTCACAAAGATTATCTGATGTATGATTCTTCGATCCTGTTACATATGTATATTACATTCTTTTAGTGTTTCTTAAACGAAATATATAGAGTAAACTGGTAATAATATTTTGGCTTTGCTTTAATCTCTGTTAAAAATACACTGAAGAGAAAAATCTCGAAACTATAATTTTGATTAAATTTTAACTCGTGATTAGCTTGCAAAGTTTTTAATCAGTAGGACACTTCGTTATTTTCAGTCCATCGACCTTTTTTAGGGTGAATTTGTTTTCCAAAGTCATTATTTCTGGACTCTTCCATATCCATATTACTTAATGGCTGAGAAAGCTCCAGATCTTTACAATGAATTATCACAATCGTCATTAATCATTTTTAAAGGAGATTATAACTACAGAAAGCTGGTTAGTGATCTAGAGTGGCCACAAGATACTCCTTTCAAAGTAATTTTTTTCATTAATTTTTTTATTCTTCAATATGTTAATAAGGTCGACAAAAGTATGTGTTAGACCGCTGCATATATAGGAGATTAATAAAAGTCAGTAGTGCAGATTCGACACATATTTGCAGATTATTCCTAACATGAAATCATCTTTGTGTCTCAGTCATGTAATTTCAGATAGCTTTACGAGGCTTCGGTCCAGCACCAATTTTGGTGCTTCGTACTATAAAAGCAGAAACGGTGGCAGGACTAAGTTCAAATGTGATTGACGATTTACGGAGGAAATATGGTAGCAATAAAATTTGGATGACAACGGGAGAATATGCTGTTGCACAGTTCACGATATGATTCCTTCTTTTCTATCATAATCACTCATAGTTCTTTAATCAGTTCAGAACTCCAGCAAATTCTAATAAGAGCCTTTGATTTTGGATTCTGTATTCTATTGGATTAAACTAGACTAAATGTAGTTAATAAAGATTTACAAGGAGACAAAGAATTATTAAAATAGTGCGAATAGTTAGGAACTAGTTGAAAAACACTAGGAAATTTTTAAATTTCAATTCCTACTAGCGTGAATCAAATTACTTTAGGAAAAAAAGGATTAGGCTTCAATTTATTAGTATATATTTTGCAGTTCCTCAAGGGGGTTTCAAGATGAATGTACCCACTATATTTCTGGAGTTTAGCTCTCAGTACTTGAAAGTCCTTACACGCAAAATTTTGTTTGCTTAAATACCGTTGAACATCTTTGTCAGATTTCATTAAACTGCAATATGGTTATTGAATAAATTACGCGCAATCTCTTTATTCACAATGGCGTATCATGCAAAGAAGGACAAGGGGGAACAATTTGAAGATGGTTTGAATCAACTTTAGAATGTTATATATTCTATATCTCTGAAAATCTTTCGATAGGAATCGATGACCACAGTTTGTTGATAGAGTAAATATGGCACCTGCACAAGAATAAATATGCTAACTTCTCAGAAGAGGCAAGTGACCCTCACCAAAAATAACTTTTGTTAGTGGTAATTCATGCACAATGTTATGCGGACTGTAATCTCTCTACTACAAGATTTTAGACCGAGTGGAGAAACGTGTATGGAGAAAGGAACTGACCTTCAGAATGACATCAAATTTTATTAAAAAATTACACTCAGGTATAAAGAGCGCAAAGGGATGTGAATTTAGATCGGTTTGTATGCAAAATTTTCACAAACCTACAAATACTCATCGTTTCTTCAGTAATCATTTCCCGATCCATTTCTTTACTGATAAGCTTCACTGACTCAGTCTATCATACTAGTGTTATTTTCAGAAAAAAAAAGACTGATTGGGTTGATTTTTTACTTCTTCTTGTTAGAGCCCACTTTGCTTGTAATTATGTTTGAGTAGACGACTAAAGAGAGTGATAGCATTAACTGTAAACAATGTTGTCAATTCATTCGCGAAACTATGAAGTAACGTTGAAGTATTAATATTTTCAGTGAAATTTAAGGTTATTATTGCCTTGACCAATTTCATAAGACAGCAAGGAAAAGATTATAGTATCCAATAAGCATGCAATTTTTGTTGGTGTTAAAAATAAGTTGACCTGAAGTTTTGGTCATGTGTTTTAGTTTTTTGAAAAACATTGAGAAAAAAAGTTTAATTAGGTTTAGTGGCCAAATTTCCTATAGCTCTAAACATGATGATAATCTATCGAAAGCATATAATAGTTACTAAAAAACAAATAGATTACTACTGGCCATGTCATTAAAAAAGAAGCACAATTTATATATAGTTTCAATGGTGATTTAAAAAAAAAAGAGCATTTATAATCTGTCATATAATATCAGATAAATTATGCATAATTTATTGACGCCTCTCAGGTATCAGTGTCGTAAGAAATCAGTGCTTCTTTATTAATTTACTCACTTCATAGATTCATCATATTTCTTCAGTATTTGATGATTTTGTAAGTGATAAAAGTATCATTTTTATGGAAAAATTAATTCATCCATTTACAATTCAATCCTTAGGCTGAAACAAAATTTAGTTCATTTATTACTTTTACTTTATAATATTAGTTGTTGACAGGGAAAGTGTCATATAATATGCATGCTTGCAAGGATTAGCCCAATGAGTCAATATTTCTTTTCAGCGTTTTCTTCTTTTAGAAAAAAGAGGTACATTAAAATAGGATATGGAAAAGAGAAGAAAAGAGGAATGAATGGCGAGAGTGGAAAAAGTGTGGAGAAAGGGTGATGATGGTGATGGTGATAATTATCACTTCCTGAGGCTGATAAAACGGTTTTGGTTATTGAGCAGAGTTTGCAAAGGAAGCTACAGTCGAACACTCATTAATTTAACCTCTTCAGCTCACGATGAAAAGAAGACTGCTCAAAATCTCTCATTTCTTCAATTCACAGTTTTTTTCTCTTTCTTTTCTCTTCTCCTGATATTATTTTCTTTTAATTTCTAGGAAGGCATTTCTTTTTCCATATTTTTGTACATGCATTGATTGCTTTTACCATATAACTCTGAATGCTCTGTTATCAGCAATTTGCATGCTTCCAGTCAATGATACATATCAAAAATCAAAGAACTGATAAGTACTTTCTTCTTAAATCAAAATAATTTCACACGTTTAAATAATTCCAAAATCAAGAAGAAGTAACGTAATATGACACATTCATTCATTCCACTAATGAAATTCATTAATTGCAAGCATTGTTTTATTTCTCAAATCAATAACTAAGTCTGTTTGTTCAATGACTTCATCTAATTGGTCATTTCCTGGGTTATACAAATTAATATACTTCGTTAATTTAAATAACGATGACAAAATTAATGCTATCATCTTAGCACTGTATTGATTTTGTAGATTCGTTAGCCATCAGACATAACTTTCCCTCCCAATGTTTTTCTAAAGTCATTCTAAAAGTGCGACAAGTTAGGAGAGCCTGTTCTGCTGTCGCAATTTCACATTATCTGTATGTGTGTGTGTGTGTACATATGTCTCTGTGTATGTATGATAACTGAAACGTTATGATCTGTGACCTTTTCCAATTTTACATTCTCCTGATTACACCCACTTACCATTTAAAGTCATTTTCTGATTTGACATCTCTCAAAATAATCATCACAACATTATTATTTGTTCACTTTATCAGTGATTATTTGTTCACAGTTAATTAGGGATGTAAAAGTTATCCTTTAGTTAAAAAGTTTTTTATTTTTGCGGTTTTTTATGCCAGGAATCAATGGCAAATAAATTTGCTTTAAAATAATCAATGGAGAATTTTTCATGATTTTCAATTTACTTCCTGGTAATTTCTTGATAATTATCTTTTTTGTCACTGAAATAAATTTCACAATTCAAAAATTGGTTTCCGATTTCCATATATGAATGTTGTTGATTAAACAAAATAACATTAATCAAACTATAAATTCTTAAGGTAATCAATTTTGATATATACATTTTTGACTTATCTGAAATAGTTTGTGCGATACTATTAGCATACCTCTACTGATTGATAATTTTTCAAATGATATCATCTAAAATCAAACTTGGAATATAGAAAAAAAAAATTATTAAATTATTCTTTCTATAAAAAATCTACTTAACTAGCTTGTTGTGTTGAAATTTACTAAAAACATTTTCCATTTTCATCAGGTATTTAATTAAATTTCATCAAATCCTTTACATTTATAAATTCTTGATTGAACAGAACACAGAAATAGTAGCTTGAAAGAAGGAACGCTACCGACAACTTTTAGTTTAGCTAGAATGAGAATTCTAACCAAAGTGATATTTTATTATCTCAACTAATTAATTCCTCGTTTTTCTTTATGAGCAGTACTGAACTCATCATCATCTCTACGCTACTTTTTAATTATTATTGTTATTGTGATGATGAAAACTCGAAGGAAATTTCACACAATACTACTTCAGTATCTATTGTACATTTGAAAGTTCATATGTAGCTTTCCTTTCTTTCGCGCAGAAATATTATCCATTTTTAACAAATAATTAATTTAAAAAATTAATAATTTATTATTAATTATTATTATCGTTATTATAATAATTAAGTCTTGAATTTGTATTTCAATTCAACATTTATTTTTTTAAACACATTTATTTAAATGCTTGAATTTCGCTTTTTTAACGAAATATTGCTCACTGTCACTCAACAATAAAACAATAGACTTCTACACTTCTCTTCATCTTCCTTTTTCTCATTCTTTCTTCACTTTTTTGACTTTTTCTTACAGAATGATTACAAAATCATTTCAAAATCTTCAGATTAATTAAAAATTAGTGAAATGCAAAACCTCCTGTAAAGTTGTAGTAATTTCAATTCAATTAAATTGTACCATTAAAACTCTATTTTCTTTCGCTCCTTGCATTCCTCATTATCAGTTATTGATATTATAGATATCTAATCTAGTGGATGAAATGTTTTATAATACGGAAATGAACACCATTTATGGTGATAAATTGGATAATTCGTTCAATGATGGCTCATCCTCAGAATCTCACGATATTCATCCCATGAATCCCACTAATGTTATGTTCAAAGGACAACTTCAAAGTAATCAGGTGGTTCCATTATTTGATTTACTATTTTACCGTACCTTTATCACTTCATCTCCTTATTTATGAGAATGAGAAAATGGAGATGTTGATCAACTACATAATTCTATTTCATTTCCAAAAGGCATGATCAAACTTGTCTTAGAAGAAAAAAAATAAAAAGAACGATGCTTGAATGAATTTTTTATTAAATTGATAAATGATTTTAGAGTCTTTCGCATGATATCTGGACTTCATCCCGTCTTATATGTTTGATGTAACAACATTGTAGAAGGATCTTAAAGCTTCATTTTTTTCAAATACTATACTCAAAAAACCTGATAATTAGTATAAAATTCTTCTTGAATAGCAGAATAAGAGAAAAATATCACTCTTATGCATGAATGAAACTAGAATACATCTCAATAGTGACCTTTTTTGTAAGTAATAGTTAACTGAACTGCTTATATAGAAGTAATGGATTGAATTTCATAAAACGAAATCTTCATGAACTGTAAATTTGGCTTTTCGCGACTTTTCATTAAAATAATATCGGTGCTAAAGAGCAATGATAAAATGATGTTGTGTAGAAATGCTGCGCGGTAAGTACTACTACACTTTAACACTCACTTTTGCATGCCAACTGTTCTCTGTTTCTTTACAAAATCAAAAATTCTAAATATCGATGCTTGACATTTCTTTAGTTTATACAGATGTGCAACTTCGTGCTAGCCTGTTTACTGGCACTTACACGATTAATCACTACTTTAGTTGCTACTAACTTAAA